TACCGGGGTTTAACAGCGGAGGTTTTCCGCGCCTTTGAGAGATGAATAAGGGCACTCCCTGCGGGTGAACGTTTTTCGAGTCACTGTCGAGGCCGGTAAGCGGCATTGTCCTGCAAGAGATCGAGTAGGGAGCTCGTTTGGCGTCTCGGCGCTTCTAAGGTGCGATCGGGGCAATCCCTATGGGAGAGCGACCTGTGAACCACCTCTGAGGCCTGAGACGTCATTTATTCCTATAACTGTGTTTGTAACAAAGACTTTAAGCAATTTTTAATAAGTGAAAACCGAAAAAAACCTCAGAATAATCAAAGACCTAAAATTATTATATTTTGTAAGAAATTAAAACTGAAATATCACACGTAATAAAAACTGCACTTGGAATTCAAACTCAATATCTACGATTTTTCTTGTATCACTGTAAGGTACACCCTCTAAGGTACACCCCTGGCAATGAGGAACACATAAAGTACGAGATACATCTGATAAGAATCAATTTATGAAATATGAATTAGGCAGTCGACCCCCCCCCCCCCCATGCATCATTAGTCCTTTTCGACCTCTTTAATTTTATTCGAATCATTAGCGCTGATGTTATGTTTTACCAAATCAATCTCGTAAATTTTATATTTTACGACTTGCCAACTGTATGGGGTTCTATGGGTTATGAGACTGAAAATAATATAAGAACATAAGGGCAATTACGGTTGACACCTAATACCGCAATACAATTTAGAAATGCCTTGTTATTCAATTGAGAAAATCTATGATGCACATCTTATTAGGGTAAAAAGACGATACGGCCAAGCGTCCTCAAGTCCCTATATAACGGGGCAAATTTATCCTCAAAAGTTCAGTTGGGTTCCTGATCGCCGCCAGACGCATTTCTGTACCAAGCTGATTAAAGAAATAATAAAAGAAGTGAATAATTGTGAACAAGAGATTGTTTCTCTTGAGAATTCGGCGAAGGACATCACTCATCAAAGAGGAACTCCATGAAACACCCAGCGATAGGAGGAAGCTCTGTCAAGAAAATACAATGAGAGAGACTCAGGAAAGCCTTTCCTGATCTATCAGATAACCGAGAAGCATACGTGATCGCCGAAACACATTACATCACTACCGCCTTCAGCTAAGTGTCATAAGAAACAGTCGTATAGTTTCATTCATGAATTGGAACTAGTGCAATGGAGGTTCGGATATCACCAATACCTTTCCAACGAGCCTCCACTTTAGGCTCTTAGTCTTTCCGAGTCGAATGTTTTGGGACTGAAATTTTGAAATTAGAGAGGCTCATAACTGCGGTTCTGATAACTGATCGGAATGATTTCATTCCATCTTCCACGCAAACATCATAATTTCGCACAATCTCTGTTAGGGTCGGAAAAGTTACAAAAACCAATTTTTAAACTTGAAAGTCCATTGTCTCGGAAGAAAAGTTATGAATATTTAACATGTTGTAACCAAGGCTGAGACTTTTTTGATGAACCTTTACTCGTGAAATTTGATGTTAAGGAGCCGAGATTTAAGCAGTCAGAGTTAATATCATTACTGTTTTACACCACCGCTATTACCCGATCGATTTTGATTATCCAATAAAACTTAGACGACGCCCATTTGTTGATTACATTCAATAAAAAGTTATCAATAACTCCGAAATATTGAAAGAATTTTGAAGCTTATAACTCGGCTAATCTGTTCGACATTATGATAAGCTTGTAGTATTTTAAAAATCAGGACAGGAAGTATAGTATAGTGCATTTAAGCAACACGAAGTCAGTAAAAACAAGTCATAATTTTACACCGATGTAATATAACCGGAATTATTACGGTTTAAAGTTTTTATTTAAAATTTTCTAACTTTTTTTTATTTGGCCGCCAATTTGTACCAAATTGTCAAAAATATTGCGCGAACAGTATTTGCCACCATGAAGTAAAATTTGCTATATCCCGTTTTTAGCCATTTTCCATCGTCTCTAACTAAGATAACAGCTGAAAAAATCCAACTAACATGTTGGTCCCGTCTTGATTTGGGCATCTTTGAGGCGACACTCCAGAATGCTAATCATTACGCAATACACTAGAAGATGCCTTTCAGGCTAAAGTACCACTAGAGCCGACCAATTCCACGATTGTACACACCGAATGAATGGCCCACTATATGGTTGTGTTGTAATACACTGAGATTTGCATGTGCATTTTATCGAGTGACACGTTAATTGCGGCAGCGCATATGCGACGATTTTGAATATTATTCAAAATGGTTTAAGTTCCCGGATTTTTTTTTAAATACAGCAGGAGCTACCTCTATTACTATTATCTTAAATCAAGACGGCAATTGAAAAAAATACAATCATAGCATGTTTGTCCGGTCTCGAAATTAGTAGTTCACAATGCTGATGATTACACCAGAAGGCTAGGGCAATCACTTCGAGCCCAAGGCTGCACCCGACATAGTCAAACAAATCCATAATTGTTCATCAATTAAAGTTTCATAGCTAAATCGAAAGCTCGGAGCAACGATTAAATATTTGTCATGTAAATAAGCAAATCTTAGGTTTACAGTCTGACACTACTGAAGGAGACAATTACTCATAACAATATCAGTGTAAATTCTATTTCAGTCTCCTGTTAATATTAAATATATACTTCATTATTATTATTACTATTATTAGGAGCTGGGATTTACATCACAGCGACTATTTTTATTATATAATTAGTATTAATTTTACTATTATTATACATATCATTATGATTATGATGATGAAAATGATGAATATTATCATTATTATTATTATTTTTACTACCGCTATTGCTAGCACTATTACTAATACTAATGGTACAATTACTAATACAATTATGTTTATTATTATTATGTTTTTTAATATAATTATCATTGTCATTTTAAAAAATTATAATATTTATATAATTATGTATATTGATTTTTCTTCTAATACAAAAGTACAAAAATGTTTCAAGCTGAGAAAGTAACTTCTATACAAATTAAGTTGAATTCATAAGTCTTTTTACATCTCACATTAAGAATACCTAGTACTCCCCTCTAACTTACACTCAGTTATAATTTCGACAATCAGTATCACTATCAATCAGTGTGGAAAATCTATTATTATTTTATTTTTCCGTGCGAAGAAAACATTACCAAACCGATTTTTTTCCAAAAATTTTATTTTTATACGGAAATATATACGTTGAAATACTGTGTCAACACTAAGACTTTAATATTATGATTCGCGTCGAAACTGAGAGCGTTCCGCAAGATATTTTCAGCATTAAGAAACTGATAATATTTTATGTGCAATCTGAAAATACTCTTAGAAAATTATAAATAACGTCAAGGATCATCAACAAAATATACTGACTTAAGCAAAGGAAAACTTGATTCAAAAAGTAGTAGGAATAAATTTTGATTCAACTTCAGAAATAACAAAACATTTTTAGAATATTATTGATTTCGAGGAAGTCCCACTCAAATTCAAATCGAATAGTGAACTTTAAACATGTCCGAGTATAACATTCAAAAGGAATAATAAAAAACGAATCTCGCTATTCTCGCTAAAACCATGTAAGCTTACCATGTAAGGCATTTTTAAGCGAACACTATTTTTCCACATGCAGCCAAATCACTTACATTCATTATTGGTCGAATTGGCTCTGTTCCATTATTTCACTACATATACTTTTGATAATTCTACAGCAAAGCTCTTTCGCTAATACTTAAAGAAAATTTCTCTATAATTCAGTTCTCTGGGTGATCTTCTATGGTATTCCTAAAAATCTATAACTTCACGTTCAAAAGATCGTTAAACAACATAACTCAAAATATTGCGAATTTATCGAAATATTTTTCCCAAACCGCATTAGCACACATGAATGATTTTCTTTTCAACCTTCCGAATGAAAATATCCTCATTTGAAAAGCAATGGATTAATAAATGATAAAAACGAACGATTTGGCCCATTTAAATAGATTAGTTTGCCTCAAAACATCTCAAATAGAGTCGACAAATTGGAAACTTGCAAACAAAATTAGAGAATAAATGAATGATTTTATTGTGACAGAGGCAAGTTCGCCATAACCAGTAGAATTAATTAGAGAATAATATTTCAATCGAACACCCCAGTTATTGCAACTTTTTAGCAGTTGTTTTGACAGCAGTGTCATTATTTCTTACTCCAGAACATTTTTGTTCTTCTCTCTGATAGTTTTACAATCTATTGTGGAAAAAAGTCCACGAGACATGAAAGTGTGAAGCAAATAAGGGTTAATAATACCGAAAAAGAGGAGAAAAAAGTGGACGTCACTATTGACAACAAGAATCTGCTAACCTGTTCGAGAAAAAGCTGGGAATTATCCATCAGACTAGACTTTTCATCAAAATTCATGTATGCTAAGCCCGTAAGACTATTAAAATGCTCGCTATGGCTTCTTCTTTTTGAACCACCTAGTATAATACGTCAATTTCGTGCGTTTTGTGTTGCAGTTAATTGAGCATCTCACTAGGACTTGAAAGATGTTTGGGATTCTCCCAAACTTGTTGAGGCTCGAACAAAAAAATAATCAAATAAATGTTGTCTTGTACAATATGCACAATATTCATATATTGTGCTTCATATAAAGTTATATATAAGCAGAAACCACGATAATGATACTTTTTTCGAATAAATTTGGTATATCTGGCAGTTGTTAGGTTATCTGACACGGAGAAAATATTTAGAATTTCAAAAAATCACTAATTTTATTTCGCGTGTGTAAGACGAAAGAAGAATACAAAAATGCGTTATTAAGAAAGATATAAAAAAATAATACTCCGTAAAATATTGTGTTTCACTATAAAAAAGATATTCCAATAATATCTTGTAAGATAAGGAATATGTTAATTTCAAATATATTTCAGTTGGCATTAAATGCACAACATTTTTTGAATATCAAATGAATGACATTGAATAAATGTTAATAAAAATATTATATTTTTCCGAAAGTTGTGTTCACTATTTTTACCTCACAAAAGTTGCTTTCCGTGATTTAGAGCACTAACAGATTCTGTGAACATGTGAGCGCTCAAAAAGATGTCCTAACGGCCTTCTATACTTAGTCTAAGAGCTTTCCCTTGTGTGCGAGAGTCGCGAAATGGCAGTTAGTTTTGATTTCACAGCCCTTTGTTAGCCTTGTGTTTTCCGTCAAGCCATGGTGGTGACACTGATCATATCGTGAGTGGAAATAGAGGAAGTACGAAACAAACATCACGTTAATTTACTGGAACAATAATTCCATTTGTCATAATGTATTGCAATACAAAGATCTAATCACTGTCATGTTATCTAATGTTTACAATTTTGTAACGATTTTTATTATTTATTAATTGGTTTTATTCTATTTCCATTCTAAGTTTTAAATATGAACTATTTGAAATATTATTAATTGTGATGAAAAATTGCCTTCAAATATCAGACTTTTAAAGTTTATTTCTCTGTCTTATATTGTGTCATCTGTTTCTTTTCACTTATTTTCATACATTTGATTTAGACTTTTTATTTTTCTATACTCTAAATCTGTTTATATTTCACTTTTGGATAAGTTACATTAGATAAATATGTCTTTACTTTATAAAGGTTTACTTTTTCTTACTACCTACGAGTAATTATCGTTAAGTAATCCAACATTGCATCGTTTAGCCACTGATCCATTGTTATTAGGTGGTAGTTGCGAGTTCAATTTTATTACAAAAAAAATTTATATTTTACAATTTTTAAAATATTTTTATAAAAACTTGCTACAATAGGATTTGTAACTTGAGAGTATGGCATTTGAAGTAGAAAAAATAGATAGAAACGAAAACAGTGGACTAATTTGGTTTTAATTTTTCACTGGATGATGACGCCTTCTAACTGGTATGGCCCGTGACAATCTTTAGGAAAAATAGCCATATAATTAAAAGTTAGCGTTTTCGTTTCAGAATGCCTTTTATATTGTATCAGACTTAAAATATTAGACTAAAAATAAAATTATAACAATAATAAGATTTAGTTTTCTTTGTGTAAACGTCTCTAGTCTTCAGATTTAGATTTGGCCTTGAAAGGTAAAGAGCTGACCAGTCAGTCCCAAAAACAGCATTCTTAACACGTTTCAAATGCAAAGGCCGGCAAATTGGAGGCCAATTACGAAGAGAAACTTTTAGTGTGTATTGTCAGAATTCACTGAAAAAATCAAATAAAAGCCGTCAAATGATTTGATCTCGCTTTTCAATTCCTAGACTTAATTGATTCCTTTTTACTGAAATAATGTATCAATTTTCACAGAATTCTCTTTTAAATGTAAATAAACAATTATGAACAATAAAACAGAGACAAAGTTGAAAGAGATGTCTCAAATTAATTATACCATTCTTCCTAAATAGAGATCGTGGGCAATGTCCTATAAATTATACATAACGCATTATTTCACACCAAAAGTAAGAAGAGTAAAAGAAATTGGTAAATTTTAAATTTGGTGCTGTTATGAAAAACACTCTGACGTCTTTTTAATGGCCATCTTGCCAACAGTTTGGATCATCCTTTTACCAGCACGATAACAAAACTAAAACAGTCCACTACTCTTGAGATAAAGTGCAAAACTTGAACTCGCTTCATATACCTCTCAATGGGGCTGGTTTTTCCCTTCGTACCTAAACTGAGAATTCATTCATTATTACAAGAGTGTCTTATCGACAGTGATGAAGAACAGATACATTTATCACTTTACAAAAATATTCTATTTATATACATCGTACTTTATATGCAGTGCTTATGTGGCTTGTTGGGACTTTTTGGACTACTACAGAGAGAACTCATAATGGCTTACACAATTTCGTTGTCGGCGACCCGTCCTATTTGAAACCTAATTTAAGGAATTATGCGAATGGCCTGACTCACTGTCTGACTGCATACAGGACAAAGTGCATCACCAGGAGCACTAATTCGATTCGCGCATTCTAGGCAGAACATATTGTGACCACAGGGTACAAGAGCACCAGTTACTTCCTTATCTCCACACATGAGACATTCGCGTTTTTGCTGGGCCAGTGGTGCACCACTTAGTAACGAATCTGTAGGACTGGCGGATGCCGACGGTGATGACCTACCGAAATATAATATATAAATAACAAAGAATAACTTGTAAAATGTAAATATGAAACACATGGCTCGTGTGAGACAACTCGTGAAAAATAGACGCTTTAACAAAAGGTTGCTAATATTGGAGACATCACTTGGCTCGAGATGCATAAGTAGATGAGCAAAGATGCCAAAATACTGCGATGACAATGGACATTCTATAAAGACTTGTAAAATTCCACATTTTTGAATATTTGAAAATATTTACTATGTTGATCGAAATTTTTTAATATCCCATTTATAACCGAGTGTAGAGAAAAACTATAAAATTTTCTCTAAATCATCAAATTTAATATTTTTTCCTAAAATTTTAGTTTAAATTCCTATCTATGCCCGCAAAATACCATTTTCCCTTAAAAATTTCCTCAAAAATTTTCGCTTTATCGCAGTGCACTAGAGCTGCACCCAATATACAGTGCAAAGGTGCAAAGATGCAACTCAAACCCATATTAGCAACCCTTGATATTTGTCTATTACACTTCGATTTTGTACAATTTTCATCTTAGCCTTTATTTTACTATTTTATATCACCAAAGTGATCGAAATAAGGAACTTTTTCTCTCATCACTTGAATCTACTAATATTTCTGGCGTTCGTCGAGCGATCAAGTGATACGAAAGTTGTGATAAAAACATCACATGAACTAGACTGAGTTCGTCCAGCGTTTAAACTCATTCAAAATGCTTGTTTTCTTTTTTAAAAGCAAATTATTTCTGCAAAATATGCCCTGAAATGAATTGAAAGACTATTCCACATTATCTGCCGATATTGAACAATTTTTTTTGCGTAATTAAAATTCAGTATTCTTAAGTGTAATATTGATTTTCCACTAGAAAAATAATTTTAGAGGCTGATAAATGAATTAAAATATGACATATATAATATATACAACCTTTACTTAATTTTTTTTTCAACTTGATATATGCGACTCAATTGAGGGCTATTAAAAGGATCTGCAATGTAATCAACTAATTGAAGTTTAAATCCTTGTATTATTACCTTTTATTTGATTTATTAGATTACTTTCTTTGGTAAACTAATGTAAATTTGTGATTCAACAGCAATAAACAATATTAGAATAGTGCAAACTTTACTGTATTTAAATCAATTCTATTTGAAAAAATCAGTGATAATCAATTATAAATATGCATGCTTTATTAGAATAGATTGCTGCTTGAGGGGGCTATTGCATTTGTTCAGACACCTAGGCTCTTAGAGCACTTTATGTCTGTCCACCAATGTCCTGTGATTTTCCTCCGTCTTACTTATTCTTTTTTTCTTTATGTGTTCTATTTCCTTGGAAATTTCAGCTTGTGGATTTTCACTGGCATAATGTAATCGCTCTTAAGGCACTGTCCAATGAATAGAACTCTTCCATCATTTTTCTTTCAAACACCAATTAAACTTTCCAGCTTGTGAAATTTCAGATAAGGCCATAATTAATAAATCATTAATTTTTCTTTAATTTTTTGCTTCCTGAAGTCTACAATATTTCTGTAAAAATATTTATCACTCATTGTAAGATTTACAATTGAAGATGTTCCTGTTTATAAGTTTAGGTCATGATAGGAATGTATATGTTTAGATTACACTGTGCAACACTTTTCTGCCCTTTTCGAAGTGTGGATTTTCTGATTCCTTGAGTCATCAGCTTTTCAACGGTACCTCACTTTTTTCCCTAGACCCTCAAGTTTTCCTTTTAGAGCCTATTTTCCATTTTCCCATATTTTCACCCACTTTGCCGCACTTATGTGCTCATATCTCGCCCAATTTTTCACTTATTTTCCTCAAATTAGGCTCAAATGATAGCTATTGAAATTACCTACTACTTTGTAAAACATTGTGAGTGTTTCAGATCACTCCTTGTTGGTCAAAAATGATCTTTTGTGAACCACTAGGTAAAAAATTCGCCGACTTCTTTACCACTTTTTTCTAAATATCTCCGAAACGAAGAAACTTTTATGTTGGATTATTTTTCCTATATGTAGAGCACTTCAGGGGATGCATTTCCTCCATACATGCCGAAGTGATATTTCATTTCTATCTGCTGGAAAAACGAAGTTTTTCCTCGACAAGTTTTGCTTTTTTATGCTACGCGCACCCGCTAAAAAACTGAAAGAAGGTACATTTTGCTGTCTACGCTCTCATTTAGATAATGATAATGCTTAGATGTTAAAACAAAAGAGAAAAAAGGCCAATATCTCGACTTTTTAGCTATTTTACGTGAATTTTTTGAACAACTCCATAAAAAACACAACTTGGGGGTCTAGGGAAAACAGTGAGGTATCGTTGAACAGCTGATGACTCAAGGAATCAGAAAATCCACACTTCAAAAAAAAAAGGGCAGAAAAAAGTGTGATTTTTGTTGCCTAGTGTTATCTAATGATTATAGTTCATGTTTCTCATAAAACAATTGTGATGGTGGATTGAATAAGCCATCCTCTTGGATAAAAATAAACTTAAGATTGAAAACTAATCTTGAATTGACAATTTGAAAATTATGGCGAACAAACAACAGAGCTATATTCACAGACTTATAAAACGTCTGTAATGATTTATAGGTAGTTTGTGATATATTAATGTGACCAGTTTTCTTAATCACTCCTTCATGTACACGCAATTATTTACAGTTATGTTCATTGAAAAATGGAATGACCATATAATTAAACAAAGTAAAATTGTTTCTATTTACAATTTCAGTATCATCCAAATTATTTATAAGATTCACCTTGACTCCAGCAGCGACGAAGGTTGCATTGACCATATACTAGGTGAATCGCCTAAACCTTCATCGAAATCTAAGCTGTCACCACTAGAGAGATTTTTCCATATGTTTATTAACTCGGGACGGCTCATGTGGCCGCTTTTAGAGCTAACTGTAGACGCGGCCGATGATGTGGAAGTACTAGTTTGTGTAGCTTGATTTTCTAAATATCCGAACAGTGAGCCTAATCCGTTCTTATACAGTGATGCTAGTAATTCATCATCTCCCAGTAGCTGTCCAAGACTAGCCGTCTGGCCCGTACGCAACGCAATATGCGCCTCAATTTGATGGCGGGCTGCCTGTACACTATCCGGTAGACCAGTTACCTCGAAAACAGGTTCCTTATCTCGTGATGGTGTCACAATATACGTGTGAGTTTGTTGTTGTATATGCTTTATGGTAGCACCTTTGGGACCCACGACTAGGCCGACCACCCGGTAGGGCACGCGTACCTGCAGAGAATATAGTATCTATAAATTTTTTTACCCATTCTTAATTGCTTACAACATTATATAAATATGTGTATTCTTTATAATATTCTTAATATAAATCATATTCCAAAGTTGATGAAACATTTAATCTTTTGAAACTTCTCGGCTCTTCACTTCTTTTGAAGTGAGGGCCAGGATAAAAAGAAACTTTACCAACTTCATTGAGTGTAAGATTACAACGAAAATATTGGACTATTATCTATTGTTTATTTTACCATTTATTTATGGTAAAATAGAAGAACGTAATCTCTCGAAAGCTGTCACTAAAGGCTCCATGCAACTTTACGTAAATCACATTTTTTAAATAAATATATTGACAAACTATTACATAATTATACCTATCATATTAAAAGAAATGTGAAAGTTAGTAAAACGTCATTTTATCTTGGTCTACATATACTACAGCGATCTCCACATAGTTTACTAGAAGCTTTTTTATTTATTATTCAAATAAAAAAAAACACAACAATCAGAATCAAAAACTCAAGACATAAAACTTAATTATAGTGAATATTAAAAAAAAACTTTGAAACAGAAACAATTGGCTTAATATTTCGCAGCCTCATTGCTTCCATGGTAATCTAGTGGCGGAATCACTGAAATGTGTTAAAAGAGTGTGTCTTCATTAAATGTATGTAGAACAATCTCCTTTTGCGCTGTAGCATCTGCTAGATTCTTGCGAAGCTGATTATTATGTGTTGCTGTGTTTAACGGCCGGTTGATGAGATTCGAAAGTAAAACATGGGACGGCCAAAATCTTTGTTTCACTCTTTTTTAATCCTATCCACTATTATTATGTTAAAAATACAGTATTTTGCTCATACGATCTCGGGTTGGTCCCGTCGGATCACAATTTCTATTTTAGATGAGCAATTTTGACAGCAATCCTATTGTTCGACTTGTCAAACTAAAGTTCAGCACGAGTTGTTCAAAGTACTTGCGCGAGTCACACAGGTCGCCCAAAGAAAATCTACAGAGTCACACTCGGCATAGTGTGTCGTGCCAGTACAAAGTAAAATACACGATACGCGTGATGAAGAAAAAAAAATGATAAATCCTACCAATGGTTTATCGCAAAATACTGTGTTTTGACCATTAGTAATGTATCACGATGCGTCCAAGATTTATCTTAGTGCTCTGGAATTTCTGCTTAATGTTAATGCTTGTTTTTGCTGCAGTTTTTTACAGCCATATTTTGAAATGTCTGCACATGTTGATTTTTTTATAAACCGTTATAGTAAGCAGGTTTCTCAGAGCAAGAACGCAAACATTTCCAATACAATATGGGCAATAATTATAGGTTTGGGATCTCGGTGGTCTGGAACAAAAACAAAAAAATGGCGTTTGATCGCCTATCCATAGACTAAACAAAACCTCCAAAATGAGGCCCCTCCACCAGTGCCCAGGGATTCTAGGGAACTGTATCGCTTTCTGGGTGGGCAATAATTATAAGCCCATTTGGGAAATTTCACTATATCTCAGGGGAGAGAAAATCCAAAAATCATAATGATCCTTTAATTTGAACCCAGTGACCATTTACCGACGTTACACACACTGTCTCACGTACGTGCGATTTATTGGACAGGTCACATAAAACCAATCATTCGCAGTTCCTTCTAGATCCCGTAGGTCTACTGCTCCCGAAAGTTTATAATAATGATCCCAGCTTGAGTTGTATTTGCAGAGAAGTCGGTGCAGAGAAGAGGTTGTTACTCCTCTCGTTAAACTTACTGACCACGAGAGTTACATTATTCTGGAAATTTTGCGCAACATTTGCTTGGGTATAGGTCGAGAGTGACAAATGCATGTGAGTCAGTGATTTAGGTGATGTTCACAATACGTTGGCAAATTCTTATCCAAATCCGCATCATTGAACTTTGTGGTAGCAAAGGTTCCACCGATTGTCTTATTGCTGATATTAAATCGTCTGTGTAGATTTGGCTCAAAGGCCTTCTCACCTCTTCTCTCGTTATTGTATTATGCACTTAAAGATTGCTCTTTGATCTATGAATAATTTCTCCCCAAATATTGAGACCAATTATTGAATGCTTATTTTATGTAATGAAAAGGTGGTGGAGAGCAACTCTACTGAGTTATACACTTTCAAACATTATAACATCACAGGCTGATTTAAAATGATGTCTGAAAGGCTTCAAATGCTCCACCCTTGGTGGGTTTGATACAAATGCGGTCCGAAAGATTTGAACCCACGGCAGTATAGAGGTCAAAAATATCGCTATTCTTATGACACTTTGTGTCAGTTTCTATTCCACTCTCTTAATTAAACATGTATATATCACAATGAACCTATAATATTTCGATGTTCATAACGAAATCTACAAATTTCGTGCTTGAATATAGGATATATGAATTAAAATCAACTTTTGGAAGTTAAAATACTCACCTGAATAGTCACATGACCCGGTATTGTAACTGCTGGTCCAAGTGGTGCACCTTTTGCAAGTGATGGTTTTCGCGAAGCACGAATAAGACTGAAATGTTCAGCAGCCGATAAAATTTCTCTCTTTGCCTTAGCCACGTCCTCTTTTCGTCCAGTAACCACAAAAACTGGCTCCTCACCGCGAACTGGTGTCTTAATGTACGTGTTCGTCTTGGCACGTAATGCTTTTATCTTACATCCTAGAAATTAATAAAAGAATAATTTAAAATACAGTAAAATTAATCATTACTATTAAAGTGTAAGGAAGAACGGGAGGGTTTGTATACAAAATTTAAATATCGACTTTCAATACATTGTATAAAACAATGAACTGCTGAAAGGTTTTTTGAATTTTGAAGGGGTCACTATATTCCTACTGGTCCGAGCACTCATAGTCCCATTTTTGATTTATGAAGCAGGCTTCTTCTTTTGCGCTAGCATGGAGATCCGAGACAAGCTGAAAAAGGCGTACAACTTTTGCTTATTATCTATTTATGAAGTACGTAGACTCGACCATATGTCTCCTTATAAGAGCTCGCTTCTTGGTCCACTTATTTTGGGCTGCATTAATCGCATGGCTATCCATTTTATTTTGAATCTTCTTTATACAGGTCGTCATATTTATCTCATGGTACTTTTGACTTCCGAGTCATCTATCACGTTTTCTTCACTTGAAGTTGCAGGATCAAGAAATGGCATTAGAATCCCTTTTTTATAAGGGAATCATCTTATTGAACGCATTACCGCGTGAATTGAAAAGGATTGATACTGCGAAGTATCGTTACTTAGTCCTAGCATATAATGTTCACATTTTCTTGTTACGAATTCTTATAACCGACATTGCTGTAATTTACTAAATAATGGAGAGGATAATTAATCCTATTAATGCAACAATTCAAGTAATGCAACGATCTCTAAGATTTTATTGAATTGAAATTTTCATAGATTTATTTATGATCCATCACAGTGACCAATTTAAGCGCATTGAGGCCCATAAGATGACTGGATTCGATGAATGAGCGACGATGGCTCTTCCATTAACAAGTTTTTTTACGGCGACAAATTTTCAATTTACCGGCCAACCATATTGGCTTTTAAGAGCACAAACAATTGCAATGAAGCGAATGTTTCACCTGAAACATTCAACAGCAATCCTATGCGCGCTGATTTTTGCCATTGGAAGGTTTAATTTTTGCACTCTGTTGTGTTCAAACACTTGCAAGCGATGGGATTTGAACACACGACCGTAGCATTGAGAGTTAAACACGTTGACCATTGAGCCACAGCCGCCCGGAATGAAAATTAATTAAAAATGCGATTATTAAATTCAACTCTTTTAGCGAGGAGAATTCGAGAAGGCACAGGGACTTCTTGTGCCTACAGCCGCAAGGGAGACGTTCTATCGCACTCTATTTGTAAAGGGCGTATTTCTTTACAATGCCTTCCTACGTGAGACACGCTATTCTGTTATACGAATTAAAAGTTCTTTCGGACTGATGTTTAAAATCTTTTCACACTGTAAATACTTAAATTATTTTTTGCTTATTTGTTATTATTATATAAATTTAATTGGCAAATTTTCAAAGGGGTTGAAAATGGAATTGAATGAAATAAAACCGCTCGTTCCTCCGTACTTGACATTGCTCGGATTCAATTTGAAGTGGAAGTTTTTACATCGTGCCTACAAAAGTATTCTAATACTCAATTTACGCTGTCCCTAAAACTGTGAACATATTACGAATTGGAAACACAGCATAAATTAATATTGATCCGAATTTTCTTCTGTTTTCTACTTTTTTCAGATAGGTTGGCAATTAAGCCGGTGGCAGCCGCAACATTTAAGAAAGATTAAATTTTATTATTATCTTGTAATAAGTTTCCATAAGAGTATTAGTATAAAAACTTCCCCTCTGCCCCGCTTTACAATACCATTCAACTATCCCACGCATGTGCGTGTGATAGACGAGCTCTCTAAGGCTTAGTTTCTATGATAATCACATAGACCATATTGTTTTGCGTTGTTTTTAAAATGAAAATTCAAACATTGTAGTGATTACGGAGTGTGTAAAATAAAAATAATTATTGCTACATAAAATATGAATGTCAAATTTTTTATTCCACTGTTTTGTTTTGGTATTAAATAAATGCTTATATGTAATTTTTCTTAAGAAGTCATGCAACAATGGAAGAAAATTGCATGCATGTTATATCTCAAACTATCTATGCATTAGAAATCGCTGTGATGCGACAAATAAACGACCGGGCGAAAAAAAACAAAATAAAATCACGACATAATTTGTATTCTTCTGATTAGTTTATGCAACAATATTATTTGATGTTTAAACTTTAAGTTTTTTAACTATCCCAAAATAGTATGAATGTAAATCTCATCTCTTTTGAACCAGACACAAATCAAAAACTTGATTGATTGAGATATGTACACATGCATAAATTTATGCATACAACTTTTGTGTACAAAAATCTTAAGTAATATTACAAATTGTTAATATTTTTCAGTACTCTGGATGAACGCGCATTACAGTTGTATTTTCTTACCTCACTTGAGTTGTTGACGATTTCTTTTGTAGCGAGAGGTCGGAAAATCGATAGGATATTGAACTCTGGAAACTTGCGGAAGCCAAACTGGGGTGAAACCCCATCCCCCCAATTAAGCATTTCCACTGCATTATAAGACAATAGTAAGAATGTGAATAGTCAAAAATAGTGTTTCTTAAAATAGATAAGTTGAATGGGAATCTACCGCATTCCAGGGATTTTAGAAGAAAATCTGATAGACTTATTTTCAGATTTATTTATGGTTTGAAACAATTTCTTCCATAAAAATATATTTTACTAGGTCAGACTACTTATTCGGTAAGTATTTTTCTGCTTTTAATAATATGTGAATTTGCACTATGTGGATGGAATAATTGCGAAATTAAAATCGCCGGCTAAGATTGCCATCGGCGCAGAGTTGGAAGAGGCGTTGTCATAGTGACGAATGTGCACAGAAAGGGAAGATTGCACAAGGAACAGTCTCGTATTTTTACTCACTATCATCTCTCGACTGTGCATACGAGGAAACATTATGTATGGCAATATAAAAGATCAAGTGTAGCAGCTTTTTATATAATAAGTTATATAGGAACAAAAATCAGGTAGTAGTAATATTAATTAAATTTTGATAACAGACAATACTAATACAACGTATTCAGTTAATGATAAAAAATCTAAGAAACCACACACCCTGAACATGTTGGACGCATAACAAATGCTAATATGTTCGTCTGAAATATATATTCGTAACATCTTATGTGAAAAGGTTTTGAAACAATTAAATCCCTCAGAACATTAGCTTTTTGTTCTCCTACAAAAAGAAATAATGAATAAAATAGTCAATAGTAAAATAGTCAAGAATAAATGCTAATATGTAAATCACATAGAATATAAATTAAAAATACAATATTAAAATAAGGATATTATGTTATTTTAGATCAAAATGATTCAGTATGGATGTTAAAGCGCCAGTGAAGAGCGTCATTTTCTTTTGGAAATGTACTGAAAACTCAGTGTATTCGTGGACGTCTACGTTTGAGAAACGCACATTCAGAATATGTAGTGTATATCATCGAATATCTCCGACTTCTAAACATATATTTGTCACTTTCGACATAATCCAAATGGGTATTGCACTAAACAAAAGGAATTTAAAATAATTTAAGTAAAATCTGAATCTCAGACACTTGGGTAAAATAAATTTTTTGTAATCGAAATGCTCTAAGATATGAGTTTCATAGCCTGTTAAACCAAGAAATTAATGACAATATAATCTAATTCAATACTGCAAACTATGTGGAAAGAGATTCATTACGGATACAGGGTTTTCTTAAAGAAATGTTGCGATAAATGCACAGAACGGGAGAAAAAATTACTAAATAGAACCAGACAATTCAGTATGTGTGTGTGCGTGTGTGTGTATATATATATCAGAAAAATGCTATATATTCCGAGCTTGGTGTTTTTGATCACCAAAGAAATCTTTATACATTCTTCACTTTTTACAAATTAAGCTATACAGTTTTGAATAGTTGAAAGCAATCACAGATTATAATTTTTTTTTGCAAAACCTTACCCATAGCGCCCTTTTAGAAAAATCAGTTGCGTTGACACCTGCCAAATACATGGATAGAAATGATATAAAATAACTAAATTATAACTAAAAGGTACATAGTAAAAGTGCATGAAAATACAAACAATTAGGAAAAATTAAATGCAGCATATATATACAGTAATATGTTTCTAAAGTTTAGTTCTAAACACAGACGGATCACAATCAAAATTAAAAAAAAAACACCTTGAACAAAAACCCAATGAATTCAAAGTCATATGGCATTATTATGTCATCAATGTGCCACTTATCCTAACACGACTGTACTGTCTGTAGATCTAAATTGCCTAAATATTCTGTCGGCATAGCATATGCGTGTACTATAGGTCTAGGCATAGCTGGAATTTTTTTTATAAATCAGTGTGGGTCAAACAGTTTTTATAGCTAGACCGCACTTTAAAATCTTTCTGCCGCACATTTACAGGCAAACTCATTCTTTCATGCCTATTGTACTTATGGGACAACATTACACATCCAATGATGGGGCTTTTCCATCGTTTTGCCCCGGAGGATTAAAGAAACGCTAAGACGTCGATGGACGCATGGCGGGGTGGGGAGTGATGCGTCGGAAATGAAGAATAAATATCCAATCTAATCTAATTTTCTGTAGGCTTTTTTCTATTGACATCATGTGTGGAAATTTTAAAAAGAAGTTTAAGAAATATGATGTGATTTCAGTACAAATTTGTCTACATTTCATGTGAAAAATTAAAAACATTACGGACTTAGCATACTAAGAATTTTGGACAGAACTCCAGTCTGATGGATAATGCCCCAATTTTGTTTGAACGGATTGTCAGATTCTGACTGTTAAAAGTGGCGCCAAATTTTTTCTCCTCTTTCTTCTCTGTTATTTCAACCCTTATTTACTTCACACTTTCATCTTTCGTGAACTCTTTTCCACAATAGATTGTAAAACTATCAGAGATAAGAACAAAAATGTTCTGGAGTAAGAAATAATGATACTGCTGTCAAAACAACTGCTAGAAAACTACAATGTTTTCGGGGTATTCGATGGAAAAATTATTCTCTAATTTTGTTTGCAAGTTTCCAATTTGTTGACTCTATTTGTGATGTTTTGAGGCAAAGTAATCTATTGTAATGGGCCAAATCGTGCTTTTTATCATTAATTAAACCATTGCTTTCAACTGAGATAATTTTCAGTCGAATATAATGCATAAAACTGTTTTATGAGAAAAGTTCGAATGAAAACCGTCCATGTGTGCTAAGGTGGTAATAGTGAATGTAGCCTAGAATACAGCACCAAGCACTCTCTTTGTTGAAGAGATAATCACAATTGACTAGTAAATAGCAAAGATAATGATCGATAAAAGTGTGACATTTAACCCATTATATCTTTGCCTCAAAAACGCCGATCTTATTAAGTGTAACTTCGCGGGAAAGACCTTTATTATTGCTAGAATATACTGAAAAATTTAATAAGTTTATGAGTGATCATTCAGACACTGGAGAGGAAATCAATGGATAAGCACAGAATGCAATTGAATATTAATCGATAGACAGCTATGACTCAGTCTTAAATTGAAGATTTGCGCATTTAGACGGAGCTTTATGTTATTTCTACCATACCTTTTATGACAATTGATCCTTATATTTCTTGATGTAATTGTATTTTTTCCTATTTAACCATTTCGAGCTCATAATATTTCATATAATATTAGATTGTAAGCTCCTGGAAAAATCAGGGTCGAAACGTTGGCAGGAAGCGTATATAGAGAAGCAAGCTTTAGAACAAGCTGAGTAAGGCGACTGTGGATTTTAACGCTACAGCCGTGTATTCGAATCCCATCGATAGCAAAACTTCTAACACAACAGATGCGATTAAATTAAGACTTTCAATGGAAAGTTAGAACAGTCCAAACAGTAGCTGTGGAATGTTTCAGCTGAACCATACGATTCACTGGAATTATCTTTTGTCCTCTGTCCATATATATAATATTATATATATATTATATATATATATATATATATATATATATATATATATATTTATATATATATATATATATATGTATGTATAATATATTCAGGGTTATAATCTTCTTTATTTAAGGAGATGTTCGAGACAAATTTTAGCTGGGATTTAAATTTGTCTCGAATATCTCCTTAAATAAAGAAGATTATAACCCTCAATATGACGTTAAAGCCACCTAATTCAGTAAGTAAGTTTTGGTTAGGAATAAAAAAAGGAAGTCTTCTAGTTTCATAAAATGAATTATAAGGTTTATCATAAACCTTTGTTTTTGCATGAAATTTTTTTTTTACCAGTACTCATTAAGCAAATGTGAAGAAGCATACGCTTTGCGTGTGCTTGGGAACAAGTCAAACTGTACTGATTGTGGTATTAATCAGTCGGATATTATGGTTTAAAGATGTGAAAACACGGAACGGCCTGTGAGAACAGAAAGTGATGGCTGGAGTGTTGGACTGTGGGTGTGCACAAAGTAGTGAAGTCCTGACGACAAGACTCACCCTAAATTTTCTCCACCCTTAAGAAGGAGACAAAGGACTTCCGAAACGTAGGATATTGAATAAAAACGAGTAAGATCGAACAATAGGCCGTCCCGTGTTTTCATATCTTTAAATTGTACTCTCAAAATTCTAAAGTTATTTTATCAAAATAGCAGAAATAAATTAAGTGATTTTAAAATTAAAAAATTATTTTTATTGACATTACAGCCTGAAGCAATAGTGATAAACACCACTGTTGTTCCAAATATTTGTAAAATTTTGCAATACTTTTTCAACGAATCCAAGATTGTAAGGATTGAACAAAAAAAACTAAAGTTTAGCTTATCAAAAATAAGAACTTTGAATTATCATTAGTTCATTCTTATAGTATCGATGTGAAGTTATTACCTGTTTTTGAAAACGTCTCAGTTAACACACTTGAATGTTGTCAGAATACATAACTAATTTGCAGAGATACGGTTGTCCAAAATTATTTCAATATGGTGCCGGATTTTCACATCGGCGAAATTGAGTCCACTAATATTCAAACAGATATAGACAGTCAAATGATAACTGTTTTGGAGAGTAAATTTTGGTTGATTTCGGATGAAAATGGTAATTACCTATTTTTAGTGCTATTTACGTCAAACATAGACGATTTCAATTGTCTTTGCATATCTTAAAATTTTTGCGTGTAACACAGCTGATACAGTTCGGCTTAATATTCAAAAGATTGACATGGTAACAAAAATCGCTTCTAGCGTTACAGGTCTTTGTATTAGTACTTAAGCTTAAGATGAAAACATTACTGTTTTAAACCAGAATCTTGTCAGGCTTTTGTCAAATATTACTATCTGACCTTCCCTGGGAGGACATATCCAAGTCTCCATAAAAAGCAATTGAAATTTCTTATTTCAAAACTAGTCTGTCTGCTTTCTAGTCTTAAGCAGTTCTATTTTCGGCTTATTGGCATAGTCAAAACTAAATAAACTCTATTAGCTTTGACTATAAAATGTTTGTGAGTATTTTCGAAATTGAAGATTCTTGAAAATAACATAAACGTAGATTGAATGTATAATTTTACACAGATGACAAGTAAAGATTATTAGATATCTTTTATGTGCAACTACTAATTTGTTTTTATTGTGATAAAAAAAACAACTTAGCTTATACCCGATTAGATTAGAAACAAACTATATTTATCGAAGAATTTTAAAACTGTTTTTAGTGGAGCAAATATATTTTTTAAAAGCTGATCCAAAAGGCCTGCAGTGCTGAAGAGCATTGAATGCTAATATGGGAATGTCAAAAAATGGTGTACAGATTTTGCTATATTATTTCCTCCTTGTTTATGCACATGCCTTTGTTAAAAAGTTCAATTCATATATTTGTAAGAGAATATTGCTTATGTATTTGAAAATACTATGGCGTGAAAATTAAGATAAACACTAATAATATTAGAGTACTTCCAAATTTTTTGTCCTCTAAATTAATTGCCGGTAAAGCAATCTTTCGGCTTGGCAAAGTAAATTATCGCTCACCTTGTCGACCAACGATTTCGGCGACGTGTTCTGAGCTGGGCACCGGCACACACTCGGTCATATTTTGGGACTTCTTAAATCGTTCGTCAAGAGGTGACTGGAAAGGGGTGGCATACTCGATAGGAGCGTCGGGAGCAGACATAAAGGGTTCAGTAAGACCCAACATGGAGAGCTCAAAAGCGAGCTGAAGAGCGCGTTGTTCTTCTATGGCTGCAGTCTCGTCCGAATCAAACAATGAGGACATCTCGAGCATGGCAACTGTGGTCCGCGGAGATCAAACGACGAGGGCACCGGCCAATACTTCTATAGGACTCCTCCGTGGCACGCGCGAATTGCACAACCATGTGTATCGTTCGGCGGCTGCCTTAAGACTGGAGAGAGCATGGACGCTTCACAAGCGCGCGAACCTAATGTCACGCGGACCAACTCTGCCACCCCAAAGTAAATAATACACAATCTGGCGTAGCAAAAGGCGCACAAGGATACTACAGTGGTTATTATTTAAGTGCGCCACACACAGTAGGCATGTAGACATCACTAAACTACAAAGTGCGCAAGTTATGTTATTTCTTGATTAAGGGTATCATGCTGAAACGCTCACATGATAGAGAACAATTTACAACATACTTTAAACGCAATCCCGATCAATAAAAATAGAATATGAATAAAAATTTTCACGGATTTATTGAAAAATATTTTTAACTTTTCTGAAAGATTTTATTCTGTGGGACATTGATTGTTCATCACAGGAAAATGTTAATTTTAATTGTTAAAAGTTTAGGTTAATTAATATAATTGAAACAGGGGAAACTTTTTACGCGAAAGACACCTTATGCTGAAGGTATAAAGAATATTTCATATATGTTGTAAATAATCGAATGAAATAAACATCTAAAATTTTATGAAATATTTTTTTTATATTCTCAAAAAAGTTTCCTTAATATTGTACAGCTCATAAAATCAAATTTTCAAGGTATATTTTCCAGATAAATTGTTTCGGATAATCGAAGGTATCATAAAAATGGTAAAAATAATATACTACGGTGTTGATAGTTTGCTAAATTATTTTCTTCACTGTTCATAATTTTTTTTATTTAACTTTTATCAGAGCAATGTTAACTGAAAATCCAATATTTGCACATTCAAGATTGGCCATAGTAAGAATCTCAGCTCTTGCGTAAAGGTTTCGCATGAAATTTGGCATTGGCCCTGTTGACTTGATGAGTTTATATGTATGTGCAGCCCAAAGTATTTTATTTTATTGCTTGTTATTAATTGTTATAGTATTCTGTTGTTGATTGTCCCGTTGCTTTTCTCTCAAACAATGTATATGATAGATAGAACACAAACAAAAGCGTAAGAAGCCATACTGAAAACAGAGAAGAAATTGGCCGTGGCTGAAAATGCTTAAAAGTTAAATTTATAAACAAACATCAGTTCAAGGTGGTCAATGTTATAAGAAATAAAATAGACAAACGATTCAAATAAAAATTATTATGTTTTAACTCCACAATTATTTTAAGAACAAAAGTTTATTTGAATACCGTCCTTGCATAAATGTGAGTAAAAATATATTATAAATTTTAAAGCCAAAGACTTTGTGCCAAGGCCAAGCTGTAGTGAAAAAATGATCAAGTGCTTCCATAGTACACTTCAAAATGTTTCTAAAATTGGTTTTTTTTGTATATCAAAGCCATACAACATTCGAAAAATCGATTTGTTACGTATAAACGACAATTGATATCTAGATGCGATTTACGTCAAATTCACTTGAAATACAGTTAAGTGTTATTTTTCCCTCAAAATTGTTTTTTGATGTCTGTCTTAAACACAGATTACACACACACACACACCTGTGTGGCATCACATTTCATCACTAGATTTTAGTAATCCGTCCGAGCACTTTCGAAGCATTTCATCCGATTGAAGTAAAGAGAAAAATGCAAATTGTAAATAATCGAATGAAGTAAACATCTAAAATTTTATGAAATATTTTATATTCTCAAAAAAATTTCCTTAATATTTTACAGCTCATAAACTATAATTTTCAAGGTGTATTTTCCAGATACATTGTTTCTGATAATCGAAGGGATTATGCATATGTCATACATCTCCTAAGAACACTTTTTATCTACGTATCTTCGAATTTGTCTTGTAATCAATTATTACTATAGATAACATAGGTACAGATGTTATAATATTAGATTTTAGGTATAATATGGAAAATAGAAATAAATATTTGAGAATATATCGTTTTTAAAGAGTTTTGTGATTTCAGTTACTCGCCCAGTATTCATATTTGAATTTCAATTACAATTTATTAATGGCAAAATTAAGAGCCAATCTTTTTCAAATTCACAACAAGTAAAAGATAACAAAAGAAAAACAAGCTAAGAATGCTAGATTAATAAAAAAAAATTCCCGTGTGAACATCTCGTTGTTCATAAAATACAAAACAAGTTCTTCTGTTTAAGTCATAAGAAATATAGAATGATAAAAAATGAACAAAAATAACTTATTAATATAGAACTTCTTGACTTCAGCAGAGAATTTTTTAAATTAATTTTTAGTAATAAATACTTCATTGCATCTATGCTATTATATTTGCGTTTTTATATGCCTCAATTGAACTTATTACAGTTTATATAACATTGTGTGTATTCTACCTCTTGCACGTCGTAGACGGATCCTCTGAAGGGAGGTTATAAGGAAGAAACAGTTCCGCCACTGCGCCAACAAGATTCATTGACCCTAAAGTGGGCACTACAGAGGATGGAATGGTCGAGACGCACGATGGTGTGCGCACGGGCCGGTGACAACCAGGGTGAATGGCCGACCCAGGCCGAGCCACCCTGGCTATGTAAAATCGATGACAAAGTCGACGCCCTTAGCATCAGTGGCGCTTATATACTAGCGTCATCTATCGAGTGGTGCAGTCATCTAGTGTTCAGAGGTAAGTCAGATCTACTGCAGTAACATGATTCGAGTATTAATGTCCATTCCAGTTAAAAATCTTTTATGTATAGGATAAACACCAAAAACAATGGTTGTGTCATTGGGGCTGCTCATATCGCAATTTATTACAAACGACTCTCCAGCGCTAATTATAAAGCGTGAAACTAACATTGTATCAATCGTATGCCACTTCTCTAGATGGCGGTAGGGAGCAACGATAACCGCCAATTGTCTTTCAAATCGAATTGCAGTTTTGATTACGCGTATAACTAATTCTTTTTTATTGTTACGTGTATTACCAGCAATTTACTCAATGTACGATAAGCCTTCAAGATGATCAGATATAAATATGTCAGAAACTGATTCTCATTTATAGATAATTCAACCATTAATCACTTTACAAATACATATACAGATCTAACGGCTTTAAACGCTTGCGTCTTCTCTAATTTCGCATGTGTCAATCGTCAGACTGCTCGTGAGCATTCTGACATTGGGAGTCATTGGGATGGTAAAGCAGTATTTTTCTGTAGTCTTTGCTGGATCTTGATACTAATTTGAGGACGGTTGGGATATCGGGATTGTTGTGAAGAGTTTTATACCAGACACACCAAAAAGCATACATGGACCCAAGATCCCATTCCGAAAATGCTGCAGAATATCCGAGTTTGATTTTGCTGTATTTGCCTAGGGTTGAATTCCGCTGGTATTAGGGATTCTAATCAATCTCGGGTGCATCAATAAATCTCGAGTTACTCATTCCCTATATAAACAATTCAATTGAGGCAGTTTTTTTTTGCAATCCATGGCATTTATATAATGCAAAGGTGTCTCGGCTCTGTAATCCATCATTTGCCGAAGCCGAACAAGTGTGCTAAATCCGCAATATTTTAAATTTTTCACATAAAAATGTAGACAAATTTTTACTGAAATCACATTATATAGGCATAGTTTTTTTTACTCGGTTTTCACTGAGAAAATGGGATTTACTATCTCGTTGACACTACGTCATACTGTTTGAACGGGTTGTCAGATTCTGACTGTTAAAAGTGGCGCCAAATTTTTTCTCCTCTTTCTCTGTTATTTCAACCCTTATTTACTTCACACTTTCGTCTTTCGTGAACTCTTTTCCACAATAGATTGTAAAACTATCAGAGAGAAGAACAAAAATGTTCTGGAGTAAGAAATAATGACACTGCTGTCAAAACAACTGCTAGAAAACTACAATGTTTTCGGGGTATTCGATGAAAAAATTATTCTCTAATTTTGTTTGCAAGTTTCCAATTTGTTGACTCTATTTGTGATGTTTTGAGGCAAACTAATCTATTGTAATGGGCCAAATCGTGCTTTTTATCATTAATTAAACCATTGTTTTCCAACTCAGGGTAATTTCACATAAAATCAATGCATCTAAAATGTTTTTTTTTAAGGTTGAAAAAATAGCCATTCATATGTATTAACGCGGTTAGCTCACATACGTAACTGGCTGTGAACTGACTTTGAGTTGAAAAATGCTTAGCTCATATCTAAAAAGATCTAAAAAGTATAAAAAGAAAAGTTACGATATATTACGTGTAAATTTATTCCACGTAATATATTGTCGAAATACGTAGAATATGAATTTTTAGTCAAACGATACTTATTTAAACATGCATATTTTCTACTATGATGGTGACATAAACGCGGTCTTAAGGAAATTTTCTGCCGGAAATGCACTATTGAAATATTCAGAAAGCTCACATTATAAGAATTCTGTAAAAAATTGTTAATGAATTATTTTCACACGCAAATGAAACTGAAAATTGCATACAATCTTAATACCGGTACTTTTGTTCGCTCACTGCTGGGCGCTAATGTCAAAGAAATTGGTATGAACATTAAAAAAAAATTTTACATGGGCAAATAAAAGACAAAGGCTATTATTTGAGTAATTTTTTTGCGCATAAACTTAAATAGCTTTATTTTAAATCTAAATCTGGCAAATATTTGGCGAATACACACGACACATACCACGCCTAAGTATCTTTCTCTTCGTGACCATGTTTCTTATTTAAGAAAAGCTATTATTATTACTCATATTAGCTATAAAAATAATTTCTGAACATGATACATAATAATCTAAGATAAAAAAAATTTACTTTGAAAAATAAGTAAGTTGCAAATGCGAGCCCTAATTTTCCTAGATCGTCTTTCCATTAGCGGCTGCCCTGGATATCTGGCTTCACTCTTGACGAGGGGTGGCTTGACCAGGCTTCGGGGACTTCTTGTTCCTCGACCTAAGCATGAGACTTTTTTCTGAACCCTTTTTGTCCGGGGGGTTTCGCTTTATAATGCCCTCCCGCGTGAGGCGCACGAGACCGTGGGTGGCATCAGGAAGTACTTTCAGGTTACCGATCTAATCATTGACTCATCCTAAATCATAGCTAAACGTTTTAAAGTTTCATTTCTTTTTTTTCTGACTTATCTGTATTATTGTTCTAACTCTTTGTCGATTCTTAGTCTCTTTTTTCCGTTTTTTTTTCTAATTAGCAAATTATAAGAAGGTTAGGCCCTAAATTTTACTCAAAATAATAAAAAATTATACAAATTAAATAGAATTCTGCACATTAAGTACTATCTTATTTTAATCCGCTACTTTCAAGTTTAACCAATTATGGATCTTTTCTATCGTTTTGTCCCAAAAGTTGGTTATCAACACTAAGACTGTAAATGACGCTAAAGAGGCTGTAATGTGAATAGACATGTAAATAAAAATTATTCTTTGGCTCGTGGCCCATGCCAAAGTTTGTTTTAAAAATCTTTAATATTATAGAGCAGGGATTTTCATCACAGCTAATATCTGCAATGGCGCGAAAAAATCGAATCTCGCAAAATCGACTAACTAAAATAACGAGATATGACGAAAATGGGGTGTCTGTGATTCCGACCTTCCGTCTGTCGTGACAAACGGGCTAGTGGGGCCTAAAAGGTAAGAGATATCGATGTGCGGTGCGCACCAAAGGTTAAAAGTATGCAGTGGCAATGAAGATTCTTTTGTCAAATCCAACCCCCCACCCCTCCCGTCCGCCATTTTGAACACCCACAAAATACACTTTCCTCAATTGTTCAGCCCCTATGGATTGAATTGGGCTCAAATTTTGGTATGATGTAGCTGATATCAGGACCTTTCCAACGAACCCTTACTTGTAGGGCTTTATTCATTAGGAGCGGAGATATGGAAGGTCAAAATTCACACGTTTGATGGTCCATATCTCCGCTGTTTACGAACCGAATAGTAGTAGGCTACATACACCATTAGTTTGTGACATCATAAGGAATGCCGCCATATTGTAAAAACTTTGGAACGCCTGTATCTCGTCAATAAAATCTTGCATTTTCTTTAAATTTCTGTATGTCGTAGTCCAGGTCAGGACGTCTCTAAAAATAGGTTATAACTTCACCAAGGACATAGAACCGGCGTTTTGACTGTGAAAAGTTTTTTTTTGAATACACTATAACTTCGGTTCTATTTACCCGATCTTAATAATTCAGGGCTAGTTGGAAAACTCTTGCAAAACTCAAAGACTTTTTAAAAGAACTGAAGTTCATAAAACCACCGCCAAAGGTGTTAATATTAATGACAAAATTCTTAAAATGTTTAACTGAAAAATTTGATTCAAGATTACTATAATTTGAGATAATTACTTGAGTATTTCGATAGTCCAGATCGAGACGTTTCCAAAAGGAGGTCAAACTAGTCTATTCAAGCCAACCAGAGTCAAAACTTTTCAAATTTCAGGAGTTTGGTTTCATATTGCATATGAAAATTTTCATGCTTTCTTTCTTTCTAATTTAATCGAGTTGGCCACGGAAGAAAGAAATGGTTAATCTCAACTAGATACCATAAGCACACGCAAAGCGGGAGCTTATTCAGTTTGTGTAAACAAAAATTAGTAAAAGACTTATAAATTATACAAAATATTTACAGGTTTTGTCAAGTACAAAATGAAATTTAACTAATAAAGTTACCCTGTAACAGAAGCAAAATAGTGACTCACCCGGTAGATTACTAAAAAGCGGCATTAAAAGTGAAATCTGTCATTTGGGAAACAGCAAGTGAGAGCAAAGTACACCATCTCTGTCGCTCGCATGAGATTATAGCGAACACGTTGATGTTTGCTTTGTTCTGCCCAGTGTCGATCATAACGTAACGTGAAGTGCTACTATCTCGCTATACAGTGCTGTCCCTGAAGTTTCACTTGATAGGGATTGCTTAATGTGTTTGAGCTGATCTAATTAGCATCCCGTGATTTCTATTCACTGTCACCAAAGGTTCTGTTTCATTTTTGTCTAGTGACAAGTAAGAATAATCAAACATTCAGATCTTATCTATTGTGTAGTAAAAAAATAGCATACATAGTATCTGTCAGAGACCTTCTTCAAACTTTACCCAACTGGAGAAACTCAGCTACAAGGTTTTAAGTTTATCAATCACTGTACTTCCTACATATTTATTATTAAAACCAATGTGATTCAATTGTTTTGATTACAGGAGCAAATTATATTTCATCACAAACTAATTAATATTTCTGTTTAAAGACGAGTGAGCATGTATATAGTTTTTATAAAAAAAAGATTTCCATGAATATGTCGATAAGACTATATTTTTTTACGTTGATTACGCAGGCCCGGAACTTTTTCAGCCTTGTGAGAATTTTTTCGCAAAATTAATTTTTTGGGCAATTTTAGCCTGGCAAGATCGCGGGAAAATATCTGATCACCTTCACTGTACACCTCTCTATCTTACTTACTTAAGTGATCGGACCGTCTCTATCATGACTTCTCTTTCGTTGCATAGAAATTTCCAATGTTAAAACTTTAAATTTTTGCGAAAAACTTGTTAACACGCCGAACAGATTCAACCTTTATAACAGTCGAGGGACTTTTTGCGAGCGGGGACTTCTCTCTAGGGCACTCGCTCTAAGACCATTTTTTACTCTAACGCTTTTGAGCTTTCGTGCTTCTGTGCTACAGTGAGACACACAGCGCCGATTTTAATGCAAAACTCGGCGCAATAAAAAAAACATCCAGTTATACTTTTCAGACAGCAAATGATTCCGCGAATCGATATAAAATCTACCAAATTTATAATATTATGCTCTATCATATCTAAAAACACAAATTTGAAGTGCATTCTATGCAGTGTTTTTATTTCTCTTATTTCCTCACAAAATTTAAACTATACAAAACAACCAAGCATTATTTTTTGTGGAAGTTGATGCATTTAATACCAATTTTTACATGATTTTTTTTTAATAATTTGGCCAAAAAATATAAAGATCGTGATTCATTATATTGCAAATTCTGTATTTAATATTGCGGATGGCGAATTTTCCGAGTAAACGCTAGCGAGAGCGTCAGCGAGATCTAGAGCCGGGAATCAGGTTGAATCACACTCCATCAAAAAGCGTTGATCTTTATTCGCGGCGTCTTTTGGTCCAGGAAAGTACAGAAGGTGAACTGGTACTGCAATATTTTGGACAGATCTTGGAAGAATTCCCCTGAAAATATCATAATCAATAACTTCTAATCATGATTTAATTTGATTTTAATTACTCACCGTAAATTTTAATTCGGGACGAAGGATTTCCTGATAAAAACTGATGATTTGCCTCGCTCTCAATATCTGATGGCTTGTTCAGCGTCTACCGCGGGTTCTCGCGTTGTTTAAAAATCGCTCCACAGTGATTCTTTTCCTCCAGAAATCGTCCTATTTCAGTTTGTCAGCAATTCATTGGAGTGATGCTGAAGAATATGTGCACGGAAGACGTTCTTCGGCAATTTCTCTCTAAGCTCATCTTCTGCAACTTGCCGTGCAGTTGACCAGCCTTTGTCACTAATTCTTCGCAGAAGATGCAACTTCTTGTCAGAAAACATCTTTCACTCTCAGTTCTTTGCAATATTCTTCACATCTTGCTCACACATTTCCCCGAAAAACTAAACATTTCTTGTCAATCTCCAAAATATTGGCCTTGGAGTGACATTCAAACACATTGGCACAATAGTAGAACAGTCCGACGAGTGCCGAGCGGTTGTGCTAATAACCCGAGCTGTGACGACACTTGAAAAAGGCACCCTACAGTGTCGATTCTCTTTTTCACTCTGTCACACCGCTGAATATATTAACATGTTTTTCACGAAAATGAGAGTTTTTTCGGTGGAAATTTCTATGCAACGGTAGATAAGTGCAGAGCGAAGGTGATCTGATCGTTTACCGCGATCTTCCCGAGCAAAAATTGGCCGGAATAAGCATTTTGGGAAAAAAGCTTCCGTAAGGGCGTAAAAAAGTCCCGGGCTCGTGTAATCAATGTAAAAACCCCAGTCTGTTCGGCGTGTAAAGGAATCACAAGTTTTGTGTTTCACAGCTAGGATGGTTAGAACAGCCGCTCGGCACTTATTGAGTCGCACAGACAGTTGTACTATCGTGCGTTTTATATTTTTTACCGTATCTGAGGCCAATACTTTAACAAATGGAAGAAAATGTATCATTTTTGGTGAGATGTAACCAAAGTTTGCAAAACATTGTAGCACTGACTGCGAAGTATGGCTTTGGACGGAGCGACATCTATTGCGATAGATTGTTGTAGAAAGGGATCAGTCAGCTGCAAGACATATTGCAGAAGATACTATCGGAGAAAAGAAGCTAAAAACCAATATCATTTGTAAAACAAATTTTTATTACACTCTCTTTTTCGAACTAACATTAACAAGAACAGCACAACGAGTTATTAAAATCAATTCAAAAGACCATATGGGCAAGAATGCCCGTGGCCGCTTAAAGCTTTAAAATAGACAAAAAATAAATTTAAATCAGGATTAGAAATATCCTCATATAATATTTTGAGGTGAATTCCTCCAAAAGTGCATCAAAATATTATAGAATTAGTTCAACTTCTGGACTAAAGGACGTGGCCCTAAATAACAACATTTTTCAAATGTATTTACTTCAACCTGATTTCCTGCTCTTGATTTCACTGAGGCAACTAGACGTGGGTGATTTGATTCTGCCGCTTTTGCTTACTTCGGAAAATACACCATTCGCAACATTATGTAAGATGTTGGAAAAATGTAAAATGTCAATATTGAGTAGACATTCGAATAAAAATTGTATAGTATTCATATCATCTATTATAGCAATATGCAAAATATAACTACTTTTGTCTGTTTGACAGATTTAAATATTCAGATCAAGTCGCGTAGCATGATGTGAACAATTGCTGAACTTGCTCCAGATCGTTAGTCCCTCATCGCAATTTGATTATACTGGCCACATATATGTTGCATATAAAATTTTTTCCCTATAAAAAGAACTATAATCGATATCACAAAGCGGTTTAACCTCATTGACAAATATAGTATATTGGCTAGAGTTTTTTTTATGTGATATCATACTCTACATTTCCACGAATTTGTTTATACGCCTTTGATAAAAAAAAACGCTTTTATTATGAAAAAATTTCTTTCAATCAACAAAATATGAATTCTCAACACCGCATCACTGGGAAAAGCCCGCTGTACTTGTGATCGCTCAAAATACAAAAACTCGCAAAATATACCATAATGACGAAACATAACGAAAAAGAGTGTGGTCACATTTTTCTTAGTTGCTGTCCTTCGGTCCGTACGTCGGACTTGTGGCGCCTAAACGGCAAAAGATATCGACATGCGCTTTTTACCAAAGGTCAGAAGTTTTACTGCGGCTAGAGAATGGTGATGTCAAATCCAACCCCCTACCCTTCCGTTCGCCATTTTGAACACCACCAAAAGTATTTTCCCAATTTACTCAGCCCCTATGACATGGATTTGGTTCAAATTTTAACCGAATTTGAACCGCCACTCGAGGACCTTGGTCCTTCCAGACCCTAGTTTTAAAGGCTTAAATTTTTAAACTTTAAATGGCCATTACTCCGTTTCTAACTAACTGATTGGAATGATTTGGAATTCATTCCAAAGGCCTTTTAAACTGCCATCTCCCACCTGAACATCATAACTTGGTAGGACCACCGCTAGAGTCGCTAAAATCGAAAAAAACCATTTTCAAAATTTCAGATTCGAATAACTCGGAAAATGTTGTTTTCTTTTTTTAATTTTTTTATGGTATAGCTGAAGCCGAGACATTTCTAATGATATCCTACGTGTGGGGTCTGAAGTTTTATGAGCGGAAATATGGAAGATCAAAGTTTACATTTTTACCGGCCTTTAGCTCCGCTATTTATCAACCGATTTTGATCATCTCTTCACTAAAAGGTGTATTTCGACGCCCTCTACTAGGCTACAATCTAGTAGTCTATAACGTTATAACGAATGCCGTCAAAGTGGAAAAACTTTTAACTCCTGTATCTCGGCAAATCTGTTATGCATTTTGATGAGATTTTAGTATGTGGTAGTCCATGTCATGACGTCTCTAAAAATAAGTTATAATTTACATCAAACCTTCGGTTCTATTTACTCGATCATAATGATATTGGGCTCGTTAGAAAACTCTTGTAAAAACTTTACAACTATTTGAAATAACATACATTCGTCATCCTTTTAAACGTCATATGGGTCGGCGAAGCCGCAGGCTGCGGCGACCTTCGTGAATTGTTCAAATTTCATTTACTAAGGTCTCCTATAGCATATTAAGCGCGCTACTAAAGGTCGGCGCGCCTCCGAAATTCCGCACACGATAGGTAAAAATCGCGCGCGACATTCCTATTCGGCTTTGCCAGGCGCGACCTAGGTTCTTAAGTGGCAATTTGTTAATAATGTCTTGGTTCTTTCTAGAATTTACTGAAATTTGAGTTTGATCCATACCATACAGACACAGCCAATGAGATAAATGTTTTTTTTCGGTTTTGAAAATGGCGAGTTGGATTTGACCACTTCTGTGTCTGCCAGACCACATATTTTGAAGTTTTGCTTCAAATTGCATGTCAATATCTCTAATTGTTTAGGAGCTAGAATCCCATATGTGGCGACGGACGGACAGATGGGCGGAACGACAAACTGAAAAAATTTCATCACATTTTTTTTGTCATATTTAGTTTTCCAGAGTTGATTTCATGAGAGATGTTTTTCTTTGTATGAAAATCAAGATTTTGTTTTATTTTAATTTCCTCTTTATTATCACAAACTTTTTATCCTTAAGTATTTAACAATAAATGAAATGATTTGGCTGGGAAAAGTCCAATGACAGGTTCCAGTATTTAAATTACATTTACATGTAAGATTTGAACATAAATATAACTTAGACAACAATAAAATCCACTACTCTACGCCTTTTGATGCGTGATGTGAGGCAGTCAATTAATAAATCCCTTGCCAGTGGGTTTCTGTGGCCCGATGAAAACCAAGATATTAGAAATGATCTTGAAAGTGATGTAAACCCCGATAATATTATGTAATAATTCATAACTTTTATCTGATGTAATAGGAGCAGAGTTATGGCGCTATCGAGTTTCGATTATGACTACGCTATAAATATGGTCATAGTTGTCTAATTTAAGCAATCTTAGATTCGTTTAAAAGGTTTAAAAAACGCTTCAACTATTTAGAATAGCAAAAGTATATCTGACCACCGTTTAAGGCATTAATCTCAATAATAACTATAATAGTAATAATAAAAATATTTATTAACTTTTTTTACAGATCACATTGGACGAAAGCATGGCTGTGGCGTCAAAGCTTCTGGATGAAATGGAACGATGCGGCTTTTCACGTGAACGTCTTTCATGGACACTTGTTGGGTGCGCAATGACGATATACACAATATGGGTTGCAGGACGACCCTTAAAACGTATTACAATGATACCAAGATCCACTTCTGACAACAACAACGAAACTGATAAAACTGTAAATGTGACAGAAACAGGTAATATACTAAATAAATATTCGAACAATTTAACCGGCGTTGACTATAAAGTAGTTTAATTGAGATTATGATATAGTTTTGTTTTCAACAATTATCAAATTGGACTATAAAATATTGAATAAAAATTTGCGGTTAATGTTATTTGTAGAGTATCGCAATGCTGCTTTTTCCTTCTGAAATTTTTGGCTGTTTCAATTATATTTTGAATCAGGAAAACCATTAATTATATTTTGACTATGCCACTAGACATTTATACATTTACATCTGTCAGGGTATATGTACGAATATATTGGTCATTCTCGTTTACTGCAAATTTGAGTGAATTTTTTATTAATAAAATCCAAGAAAGCAACACACTTTCCTATTACACTATTCAATGACTACAAACCAGAGGGGCTGAAAAGAACCCTTTCTAAGTGCCCAAATTCCAAGGCATCACAATTACAAAAAAAAATTTATGTATTGGTCTTTCCATGCTGATTTACAATGATTAGGCTACGAGAGAAAGAGTAGCAGATGAAGACAGGAAAAGGACAACTACTATTTTAGGGACTATAGTTGAGGATAGGAGGCGTATTATCTCTAAAGGGGAAGTTACACAAATAGGCCGCAAAAACGATATAGAGCAAAAGACCTCTGTCCTAAATTCTCATCTGATGTGAGAAATTCATAGTCCTTTCGAAGACATTCCTCTTCACACGCGGAAGTGCTGTGGTCGATGATGAGCCGCGATCTTCCTTTCCTTTCTCGTGAACATGCGCGGAGGCTCACACAATCTTAGGGGGGGTTACGCGACGTGCACATAAACGTCAAAGCGCATTTCTCGTCACGCTGCTCACTTGAGCGCGACATCCTCGCTATACAATGTGGCGTAATCGGCGACGTCGACGCGAACAGTTAATCCTTCTCCTATTCCTCTCTATTCCGTTGCGTAGGATCGGACATGTTATCGGCGAAATGGGTATTTTTCACAATTGTAACGGCGCTTCTTCTCAAGAAGGTCTCAAGATCCTTCTTGACAAGAAGGACAACGGAGATACAGAGGAGTGTAAAAATACGGCCCCTAAAGACACTGAAAAAGCACTTTTTTCACGCCAATATCGGCTATAGATAAAATGGAAAACGCAAAGTATCCGCAATGTGGCTAATTAAATTTTGACGTGGTTTTTTGATTAAACCGTTAACCATATTCGATGGCATTGACATAAAAGTATAATAGATTAGAACCCTCACTTTTAGCCTTATTTCCCTCGTTTTCGTCAAAAGAGTGGATAAATAGTATATATATATATATATATAGTTATATATATATAGTTATATTATTATATATATATATATATATATATATATATATATTATATATATATGTTTCAAAAATAAATGTAGTGCATTCCAAACGGAACAACGTCATATGAATACTTTGTTTTAGATAAAATTATATTATTATTATTACAGTGTTTTATTATAGTATAATAATTGTGCTATTTTCTCAATTCACTGTATACACATTTTGAAAAGTGAAATTGTTCTAACAAACCTGAGCTATTTACTACTTTATTTTTTGTTCCAATACAATTATGCAACCTTCTAACCAAAAACCTTTCTTTAGAAAACCATCTGATAGAACGACCTCAACCTGGACTTAATCGTGAATTCGTAATGGCATTGATACGGCTCATACGTATAATGGTTCCTCGTACTCTCTGCCGTGAAACAGCTCTTCTTGGTGCACATACTGCTTGTCTCATATCCCGAACTTTTCTATCTATAACTGTTGCTGCAATGGAGGGTCGCATGGTGAAGTATATTGTGCAGCGGGATGTTCGCGCCTTCTCAAAAATGTTATTGCAATGGTTAGGAATAGCGGTACCCGCTACTTTTGTGAACTCTATGATTCGGTACCTTGAAAATCGTCTGGCTCTAGCATTTCGAACTCGCCTTGTTAATCACGTCTATCGTCTGTACTTCAACAATCAAGTGTTTTACAGGTAAGATAAAAACAAATTAAGATCATGCTGATGCTCTATGCAATCTGGCTTTAAACTTTTCCTAATTCAGACAGTTGCAAATGTGAAAATATTAATTAAAGTGCTAAAAAGATTGAAGCGGTAAAAAATAAATGTACACAATATTTTTTTTTTTTAAACATTATTAGAAAATACTTAGATTTTATAGATTTTTTATGAAATTTGAATTCCAGAATTTGAGATTTATAACACAGTTATTCTCAGTAATAGATAAAATATCTCAGAACAAAGTGAATATAGCAGATGCACAATTCATTTTAAAACACGGAATGGCCTATGTTCTCCTCACACGTTTATGACCTTACGACGGTTCGGGGGCTTTGCGTGCTTCATCGGGTCCGAAATTATGTATTTGTGATATTTATTTTATAAATTGTGTGATAAAACTTTTAATTTGGTTACTGCGGTCCTTCACTACTCTCTCACTTCAGCGATCCATCACTTTTTCTTACATTCTTTGCACTGATTGAGTTTCTAATATAATTCTTCACCAATATAATCTTTGCAATTGTGATATTCTCCATCTCCTCTTCCCGAATATTTTTTTTTTATATTTCAAGGCTGTACTGCTACGGATATTCTTGCCTTTATCGCCCATTAATCTTTTCCCAGATGTTGTTTGAATATATTTTTGTGTTTAGTTAAGATTTTCCAGTTCCACGTCTTTCTATGGCTTGACGGACTCCCTTTATATGCTTACATAGATCCTATGTGTGGCCTCATGCATTATTTGGCATCTCAATCATGTGTTTTCGTAATTCGTAGAGATTTGAGACTTCGGCGCATGGTGTTGTAGTAGCGCGACAGAGCACAATCGGTGATCATAGATGTCGCGGCCACGTAACCGCTAATTATAGCGGCACCTACAGATCAGCTCCTCTTGGAATACGACGAGCACCCAAGTACCTAGGACGGTCTGGTGAAACTATACACCCTTTCGCATTTTTTCTACCTTGTTACCGAAATTTCACAACTTTTGTAAATATCTACTGAAAAAGGAAAGAATATGACAAAATTTTGAGCAGTAACATTTAAATTACGCCGATAAATAGTATACCAAATGAAAATACGAAACCCGTGGGTTTACATTTGACCACATTTCCGCATACGAATGTGGTCAAAAGCAAAATGGTTGAAACACATAATTTTCACTTCTCAAAATAGAATAGAATATATAGAATATGTTTATTAATCGCTTATAAGTACAAAGCTTTTGCGAGCGTTCTTTGCGTCCACTGACGTCTAAGCGTTGATGACCAAGCTCCAGAGCAAAATGGAGGAAAAGCTCTTTCATCGGTCGAATAGGCTTTCTTCCCCATCTCTTACAAAGTGAAGAGAAAGAAAAAATAAAAGCACACAAGTGTTAACAACAGTTTCTGAGCACCTAAGTGGGTTGAACCCTCATCCATTGGTCGTGTCTGTAAATTTATAGTAAGCGAGAAAGTCTAAAGTGGACCTTACGCATTGGATTTATTGAATTTCTGAAGAAAGATTTTGTGTACAGAACGAAATAAATCAGAAAGAAACAAATTTTGAGGAATCAAGTGCAATATCTAAGTATAGCAAAATTTTAACCGTCGAATTACCTAAGTTTAAAAATAGAATTATACCATGTGGTAAATTGTTCATTATGTAAAATTGCACTCTTCTCTGAAATGTAATACCTTTCTCCTATTTCAAAAAGACGCATACGGTAATGTAATAGAAATAAAAATAAAAAACAAATACAATCCTATGTAATCATGCAGAGTTAGCTGATAATACATTATAATTTCAGGTGCTCAAATCTCGATTCGCGCATTGAGAATGCTGATCAGCTACTAACTGACGATATTGCTACCTTTGCAAGTTCCGTAGCACATTTATACAGCCACCTGACAAAACCATGCTTCGATCTACTTTTGATTGGTCTGGCTATGGCGCGATCTTCGCAACGAATGCGTGCTAGCATGTTTTCAGGACCGATTTTAGCATTCGTCGTAATAAGCACCACTGCACATGTGTTACGTTTGGTATCACCGAAATTTGGTTATCTGGTAGCCGAAGAAGCCAGTCGATACGGATATCTGAGACATATTCACTCTCGCATTATTACACACGCAGAGGAAATTGCTTTCTACGGTGGCCACCGGGTTGAATTGCAACAACTTCGTGAAGCTTATGACAATTTAACACGCCACATGAATCGCATCTTTGAACAACGTCTCTGGTTTGTGATGCTGGAGCAGTTCTTTATGAAATATGTATGGTCGGGCACAGGAATGGTAATGGTATCTTTGCCTATTCTTACTACCAATCGATCCCGTGAGTATATTAAAAAAAATCTTTTTTCACTTCATTTACTTAACAAAAAGCTTTATACAACAATTGCGTCATAAATTCAATTCAATTTATTTACGCTAATATGAAAGATTGTCCTCTCGATTATCTAATTGGTTACAACAATTGTGATTATAGAATTGCCCAAAAATTAAAATGAATATTATATGTGGGGAGCAATGATGTCTCTTCCATTTGCGCGGGAGCGCGTTTCATAAGACGATTTCCGCCGCAAAGACAGAATCGTGGAGAATGCAACTTTTCTATTTCGGGACCTGGAGAAAGAAAACCTGACAGACAGAACGACATAAAATCAACGGCTCTGCATTCTAAGTAGCTCAAAATTAGCGTACCCAGAACCAAACTCTCATAAGGAGAGACATGATCGAATTTATTTCTGTTAGATCAGATTTACCATACTCGTCCCGGAACATCCAAATCTCTGTTGAAACGTTGAATTACACACGCGAGGGTCACATGAACGTTTAAAGCAAGAGTTGTAATGGACCGCTAGACAGCGCGCTTTCTCGGGTTATTTTCGGCATGTCACTTAATGGTGCGTGTCAAACATTGTAAACAACCGTTAAAACTCGTGAAAATCTACTAATTGTGGGCATAGTTCAGGAGGTAAGTCATAATCAAATGCAAGGACGACAGTTCTATTACTTTGGATCAAGGTTTACTCTGATTTTAAAAGCAAACTAACCAATGAATATAAATTTTTCATTTTCAGTGTATTTTGGGGTGCTTCTACAGCAAATTAAGCATTGAAGAAATCTACCGAGAAAACGGTTTGTCCATCTAGCAGCGGACAGACAGAAATAACGTCGAGATGCATGTACATTATATTTTTCAACAGATTTTGAGCCAGAGAAGACGTTTTCATGCATTCATTTTCATCCTATTAGTGTTAACAATGGAGTCCTGCTGAGACCAACACCCTCGCGTATCACATTGTTGATTATGGTCGGAGCGGAGTAGTTTATCGACCTTCTGATGCGCTCCGAGTGTGGCCTAGGGACTGTCAGGAATTCCCTTCCTCTCTCTCCAACCGAGGGGCCGAACAGCCCGCAGCTAGGTTTCAGACCAGCCTGGGCGCCCAAATAAGTGCTCTCAACCCTGGACACATATAAGTGACACAGAGGGAGAATCTCCGACTTCTGAAACAGAGGTCAGGAGAGCGCCCTCCGGACGGAGCGTCCTATTATCCTCAGGATAGACTTTTGGGCTCTCAGCAGCTGAGTCAGGTGCACCTAACACACATTGCCCCAGATCAGCCGACTATAGCCAATAGGCTGGGACTATTGCAAATCCGACTACAAATCCTATTTTGTTGACTTTTAATTAATCAGATAAAAGTAAGGAAACCAAGTATTAATTCTTTTGTTTTTAAATGTGTTTACCTGATGAATTAAAGAGTGATTTGAAATATGTGCCGAAAACATTAATTAGGAAAATGACATGACCCTCACGGAGTTTTTTTATCCTGTTTCCTGAAGTCTTTCCGAACCGTGTGAAGCACCACCATCCTGAGTACATTTCGAGGAAATCACATGAAATCTTTTACGCTTAATATGTAATAAATTAGAGCGTCTGGCATCATACTGAGCTATTTGATAATTTGAGGCTTGATTTAAGGCATTATCAGTGCGATAGGTATGCTCGAAGCTTTTATTTCTCGGTTACCTAAAAAAAAAACTTGAGGATAATGGACGAAAATATTTTTATTTTGCTATATAGGATGCCAACATTTGGGTGTAGGAAAATATTCTCTACTAGACATGCTTATTAGCAGAAGCATCACATGCGTGAAATGCAGACAAACGCACATGATGTTCTTCGATTTATGCAATTGGCTTGTCATTTGCCATATGTCTAATGGTGAAATATGAAAGACACATTTAGCTCGATACTACGAAGGCGATGAATATAGCGGAATTGGTCAAGGCTGAATCCTAGGCCTCCTGCTCTTTTCTATGTTTATCATTGATCTACCTGCTGTCTCGAATGACTGTCTTTTTCATCCATATGCAGATGACCTTTAAATATATGTAGAAGGTGACCCTTGCAATCCTTCCCATGCCTTCGATTTGATGAATTCAAATCTCTTTGCTGTTGATCGCTGGTCGCTTGCCAATGGCTTGGCTCTTAATCCAAAAATGTCCCAGGCCATCGTTGTCTGTCAACCTTCTCATAATTTCTTTACTCACCCTCTTACTCTTAGAGGTGAGGTAAACCCCCTTGTAGAAAACGTACGCAATCTGGGCATATTCTTCAATTCCCATCTCACTTGATCCGATCATGTCTCTTCCTTGCGACGCAAGGTAAATTTCTCGCTATACTCCCTAAAACGCTTCCGGGATGTCACTTCTCATGACACCAGACTCCTTCTCGCCAGGTCGCTCTTGATCCCTCAGTTCACATACGGGCCAGAACTCTTTTATGCTGCTGACAGCGCGTCCATCAGGCAGTTGTCGGTAGCCTTCAACAACTGTACTCACTACGTCTGTGGTCTGGGGCCCAGAGATCATATCTCTCCCTACAGTAGTGTCCTAATTGGTTGTGATCTTCCGAATCTACTTAAACTAAGGGCTATCACCTTCATCTGTCGCCTCCTGGAGACTGGTTGCCCTCGATATCTCTCCTCGCTTTTGGCGCATGGCACCTCGGCCAGGGTTCGGAGTCTATTGGTTCCGAGCTCGTCTACTGAAGCTTACTTCCGCACATTGTGCGGTGTCTGGGGTATCAATATACAACTCACTCACTCGTGCTAGTAGAATCTCGGTCAATGCGATTAGGAGATATTTCCTGGTTATTGTTGGTGCTGCATAACTATTTATTTCCCTTCAAATGACCGTATCTATCTTTAACATCTTTCATTTTATTGCCATTTTATTCATGTGTACAAATATTTACACAATAAAAACATTTGTTAAAATTTTCCAAATTTTTTAATGGAACATTAATCCAAAAATAATCTTTTTTGTATTCACTTCCAGGAATTGGCACATCGGACAGTATAAGTGATCGCACACAGTACCTGACGACAGCCCGTAATCTGCTTATATCAGGGGCAGATGCAATCGAACGGCTAATGTCCAGCTACAAAGAGATTGTGTCTCTGGCCGGTTACACACACCGCGTGGCTGATATGCTTGTCGTATTTGATGATACGAGCCGTGGTGTTTATACTCGTCGAAGAGTCAATGGTAACCAACGTGGTAAGTCTTTAAATTTTAGAATTCTTAGAAAATGTGAAGGAAAAGCTACTACACCTACTAGAAATTAGCATTACAATAATTATTGAATATTATAAATAAGAGATCATTATTTATCACTGATGCTAAAGAGTATGTTCCAATAATACCATTTTGCCTTCAGTTCTAGGTGGGTAAGGAGGATTTAATTTATGTTTGACAATGGGTGTACAGATTGTTTTTTTATCAGATATATTACTATGTCTATGAATTGGAGAACATCACAGCTTGTGTAGGAATACGAATTAAGAAAAGTGCTGTGCTTACCAAACTACTAGAAATATTGAGCGTATAGGTCATGTATATATATATATATATATATCTATAATATATATATATATATATATATATATATATATATATATTATATATAATATATATCGTTGTTATGTTGTGCAGGATTTCCGCCAGCAAAGGTAGTCAGAAGTATAGGATCGAAGCGGACTGTCCTGAGCGCCCAAATTCAAACACACTGCATTGGTCACTCACAAAACCGCCTTTATTTCACTATTTCGGGTTAGCGAAGCCCTTATAACTATAACTATATATATATAGTTATAGTGTACAAACACTGTGTGTTGTTGAGTTGCCCAAATTCTTTGTAGTATGTTCGCATAGATTATGCTGATGTCAGCATAATCCTGTTTTTATTCACCGTTTTATGTCAATGTAAAATATGTGGAGGGCTTCAAGTGCATACAGTCTCTTATTTCCTACGTATCAGTCCAAAATAGTAGTGTGTTCATATATGGAATCATGTTCGTCTTCTCTTGCGTGCGTGACAAGTGCGCTAACGTTATTCTCCACTCTTGTCTGTCCTGCTTGCTTCCGCATACTTCGGACACTCCTCTCATATTGTCTCATTCTGTAATTCAGCCTCTGCACTGTCTTCCCAATGTAAATTCTCTCATATTGACAAGGTATACAGTACACCACCACTTAACTGTCCATTAATGTGGATATGTTTTGCTTCTGGTTGGTATGAAGAAGTTTCGCACTAAAAAGGCCGTTTCCGTTAATTTTGTCAATCCATATATTTATCCACACGCACACACACTCGTGTGTGTGTGTGAAGCAGTCACATTTGTTCAGTGTGGATTCCGCAGTATCAATTCTTTCTGCCTTCTTCGCGCAGTCTCACAGAATTTAATTCTGCTTGATAACCCTCTACACTACTTCTGACACCCCTATCCACACATATATTGAGAACTGGATTACTATCCTTTCTACTTATATACTTATATTCATGCCTGAATCGTTCTTACATATAAACCTTTTTTTAATTTTAGATATCAACACCGCTGTTGTAGCAGGTCGAGTAACGACAGGCGGTGTTAGCATCTGCCTTACTCGCGTACCAATCGTGACACCAAATTGTGATATAGTGGTAGACAGCCTTTCAGTTACCATTCATCCAGGCATGCACGTACTTATCACAGGTCCTAATGGCTGTGGTAAATCTAGCCTTTTTCGTATATTGAGTGGTCTCTGGCCCGTATATGGTGGGGAGCTATGCATTCCGGCCGCAACTCCTCCTCAACCTTGCATGTTCTATATTCCACAGCGGCCTTATATGTCCATAGGTACACTTCGTGATCAGTTAATTTATCCTGACACACGAGAAGATATGGAAAGTAAGAAAATTGATGAATTTTATCTGCGTAACATTCTACGTATGGTAGCACTTGAGCATATTGCGCAGCGAGATAATCTGGACGAGGTAATACAAGTGCAGGTTGACATGTTTATAATGTTTACGATGAATGAGTCCAACATTTTATTGAATAATATAAAAAAAAACATTTAAAAATATAATGATAAAAACAAATTATTCTGTCCCTTGAAATTTATATGCGTGTAAAGAACAGTACTTATGTTCATACACCATAATTATAATTTGCGATCACGCAAACATACCAAGTTTCGTAAACTCGTTTTTCTCAAAAAATGCCGTCTGGAAGGCAAAATAAAACAAATTATTATAGTGAAAACACAGCATTTTGATCAACAACTATTGATCGAGTTTATCTCTGTCTTCACCACGCGTAGTATTTCTATCCTGCTCACGCAACAGTCAGCAGAGATCTACAGAGACTAATTCTGCAGACTATGTTGCGCGAGCAGGAAAGAATAAGCATGATCCGCGTGGTAACTAAAGAGAAAAAACTCGATCAATGGTTCGCTGCAAAATGCTGTGTGGTGAAAACGTAATGGTGAAAACCATTCGTAATTTGTCGTAAAAAAGTAAGTTTATGTTGCCCGTTTGTTGTTCCGTCCGTCCGTCGAAACAAAGAAGTTTCTAGCGCCTAAAGGGTAAGATATATCGGCATTCGGTTTTCACCAAAGGTTCACTATTATAAAAAATCAATTTTTGTCACTTACTTAGTCCATATGGCATGGATTGGTCCCAAATTTGTATATATACATCTCTACTATTTCATGAGCATACGGTTCGCGTGTGCTTATCCACATTTCTTTTTTTTGGGTATGTCTTCATTCTACTAGTCCATTTTATTCAAAGCAACGAGTATCCACATTCCCTTAATACATTAGGTGTTTATTTCTTTATGATCTATCTTTGGCAGGTTCGTGACTGGAAAGACATCTTGAGTGGTGGTGAAAAGCAGCGAATGGCAATGGCTCGTTTATTCTACCATCGGCCGCGATATGCTCTGTTGGACGAATGTACTAGTGCTGTGTCTATTGATGTTGAAAGTAGCATTTATGAAGCCGCTAAAAACATGGGAATTACGCTTCTCACGATCACGCATAGACCCACACTCCGGCGTTTTCACACGCATCTGCTCGAGTTCGATGGTCTAGGAAGTTGGGCATTTACTACACTGTAACTTTATAGTCTTAATTTCTTTATAAATATTTGTTTTTATATTTTAATAAAATTCAACAAATCACAAAGCACTTTGATTCTCATTCTTATGATTTTATTTCTTTCAATGTAAAGAAGACAACATTTTGGTTAGTATGTTATTCCAATGAGTAATGAAAAATATGAATGATCAACCTTATACCAAAACACAATAAGACACTAAACAGGGTTTTTTTTTCTTTTCCCTTTATTTCTGATCAGTTTTACCTTTTATTTTTTTGCATGATTAATGCATGATTTATTCTTCAAGTACGAATTCGCAGTGAAATACAGCTGATAATGAAAAGTTTGTGGAATAGAACAAGAAGTCGCACCCAGTCAACGATTGGCGACATCAGAAAAAAGCAGAACAATACTTTCGTATCTAAGGCCCTTTCGAGAACATACTGATCACCTATGCATCTGTTAGACCATGAAATCCTGAATTCTAGCTAAACTTGGGAAAATTTGATCCAATCTCACCACAAAGTAATTGGTACATATAACCCAACAAGTACATGCATTGTGTGATTACTTATGAGGAGATCCTTTTGTATATTTTATAATTTTTTTCAACCTTTGCCTAGATTCTTCCGTTTCGGAGACTTGGATTGGGGACGACGTTCTGCAGCTGTTTCGGTTGGGCGGCTACACACTGTTCCATTGCTGCAACAACGCCTACCGTGCGGGGGGGCGGTTGTTATTTTTGTGAAGGATGACCTTCCTTGCGTGGAGCGAGTGGTGAGCTTCTCTACTGCTGATGGTGTCTGTGTCGATGTGAAGTTTGGCTGCTGCTCCATCACCGTCCTATGCCTCTACCGCCTCCACAGGTTCAGTGTCGCTGCGTGACTGCATGGACTGCCTTATTAATTAATTAATTAATTAATTGATTAATTAATTAATTAAAGAAAAAAAAGTGAAAAAGAGACAAAGAATCGACAAACAAAGAGTAAGAACAATAGTATAAGATAATTGAGAAAAAAGAAAAAGAAATGAGACTTTAAAACGTTCAGCTATGAATTAGGATGAGTCACTGATTAGATCAGCAGCCTGAAAGTACTTCCTGATGCCCCCCACGGTCTCGCGCGCCTCACGCGGGAGGGCATTATAAAGCGAAACCCCCCGGACAAAGAGGGTTCAGAAAAAAGTCTCATGCTTAGGTCGAGGAACAAGAAGTCCCCGAAGCCTGGTCAAGCCACCCCTCGTCAAGAGTGAAGCCAGATATCCAGGGCAGCCGCTGATGGAAAGACGATCCAGGAAAATTAGGGCTCACATTTGCAGGTTGCAGCCCACCAGCACATCTCATCCATTTCAATTACTATTGTAAAAAGTTACATTCAGCAATTTTTAAGACGTATGAGAATCAGGCAGGTCGAAACCCACTCCAATGACTTGTAATTGCTGATCAGGGCCATGTACATATTTTGCGCTGGCTGAATCCAGACTTGCTTATGGAGTCCTGCTATGGGCAACTCATGTGAGTCCCACCTGCTGCCGCTCGCAAGGGCCCAAAAGTCTCTCATTAGGCCTATGTCCTTTGCGCGCGGTAGAGACCACTCGCGCTCTTTGTATGAGAGATGAGACATCCTGCCACTCCGTCATTTGTATGTGGCCAGGATAATTGCCTCATTCCTAAGACGTGGAGTGACTCGTGAACTGCTCGTGTGTACCGCCCGTGGCAGGGGCGAGCCATTTGTGATTCCGAGGCCTCTCTCTGAGGTTTTCAAGAGATCGCTCAACTTCTCTACGCCGACGGTGCTGAGCAATGTGTTGCGAGAGCATGAGTCTGATTCGCTGAAACGGCGTCCTCGAGGGTCTGGCTCTGGACTTTAGACTCCGCAGATGTCGACCGAATTAGTGAATCGCGCTATAACTAGCGTCTGTGTTGGGCACTGTCTTGACCGCCTGTCCTGTGTCTTATGGCCGGGCCTTCCGCCTCCAGCATGGCGTCGCGAGCCACCAGCACAGCGTCCCCAACCTGCGAGGGAACGCAAATATACAATCCTCGAAGGGACTTTTCCATCGTTTTGTCCTGGAGGTTGGTCACCAACGCTAAGCCGGCGATGGCCGCAAATGAGGCTACAATGTACATGCTGTGATTTAAAATAAATGAATGAAATGAATCTAATAATTCAAGCGATTGGTAAAAAGGCCTAACGAAATTAATTTAAAATTATTTACTCTTGCTCATAAAGGAATTTATGATAAAAGTAATATAGTTCCCGAATTCTGTAGAATGTGCTCGCATTTTCCCGGAAATCATGAATATTAATGGAAGTCATATTCAAATAACATCTACACAATATGGACGAAAGGATTTCCTAAATTGGAAGCCAGGACCTTGTACTTGGACTTGTATCATTTTATAGACGATTGCTGACAATCACGGTAAATTTTGTATTATATTCGGGAATTTTCAATTTTTTAAATTTTGTACTGAATATTACTTAGCCAGGTTTAAATTTAAAAAAAAATTCTTTTAGAAATGCTCCATTTTACTCCATTTATTGTTTAAGTTGTGACACATTATGACAAAACGATAATTTTTGTGATACCCTTGGTGATGCCTCAATTATTAGCCATTGTTGTCTTTACTTTTACAAATCATGTATACAAAGTCTCAACATGCAGTGAAGAATCACTATAGAAGAGTATAGAAGATCACTGTTTAAGACAATAGAAAATAAAAGTAGCATAAATGCGACCCTCTTGACAGGATATTGTTCAAACATTTCACGCATCATGGCATTTTTTCGCGTCTTCTCGCCTGTTGAACCTCTCTCTGGTCAACTATTTGACGAGTTTATAAGGGTCGGCGAAATGAACTTTCAGTTTTAATTAAAATTTTAATGTCACCATCTGGAATGCCGCTGCGAGATGGTCACTCAAACCTGATTTTGTCTCTTCCTTCCAATCCTTTTTGATTCTTCTGGTGAGAGTTTGCCGAATCCTTAATCTCCAGCATTATGTCATTTGTCAGTAGTGTAATTTAATTATAAACCATAAAATCCATAAGTAAAATAAGCTATGGTAAAGGGTTGAAAGGGTGGGTGTAAACGAAAGGGATTTAATTGGCGTGAAGGCAATGGATTTTGGGGTTCATAAGTTGTGACTCACTTTCTTCTAATTACACAAAATTTTACGAGCGTTTCAGAAGTGACAATCTTATCTTGCTATTGCCTCCTTATACGTAAATTCGCATTTTATCGTCTCTTCATGCAGAACATATTGATGTTCTCTCGAATCTAATAGTGTAAATCAAAAGAATCGAGTTTAGTATACAGTTCTTATCAGAAATTGCTTAAACAAAACGGATAAGTTGATATACAAACATTCATAATAAGTGGTCAGTGTAAAATAAGATATTTCGGTGACGTTTTATCGCGTCAAACTATCAAATGCGCGATTTCCAACTGAACACACACTTCAGGCTAGTAACTCTACCTACGGACAATTAATATTCAGAGCCTATGAATATGAGAGTCGTTCTGATGAAGAACGAAGCAATAATAGCGAGGCTTGTATGGGCTCTCCCAAACCCATCTGTGGTTCTCTCTTCTCAATTACTTTCTCCTTGGGTGTTCAGGTGCAGGTCACTGAAAGGTGAACCTCCATATTAATGAATACAGTTTTTCAAGAGATCAGCCGACCGCTGGACGAGAGCGTGTGTCCCGCGTCAAAATGCATCGTAAACAGTCGGTGGACTCCACCAAAATGTGTTCTCTGCACCGCGGAGTAACCTGTAAGACAATTTTTGTTGTGGCGTAGTTGCGTTGTAACTTAAACAGCACGTTAACGAGACATTCTTCCAATTACGCTATGGAGCTGAGTTAATGACAAGGATCAGACCTGCCTGCGCTTTGAGAAAATCAGAACGGACTTAACTTTTTCAGTATGACAATCCTGCCATCAAATATGCGGTATCCCTTTCTCGGACCACACCTCTTGTTCTCCACCTACTTCTTCTCATATAGTAGACGCTTATATGGCTCTTCCTATAGACTATGTTGGGGACTTCCACTCTCCAAAATGTACAATAAATGCCACTTTATTACGAAAGTAGCTGCAGTGTATTTTTTCGCCACTCAGGCTAGTTCCTAGGGAACCCTACTATTGGACCACCTTCGGTATGGAATGTACTTCACAACATGCATATATGACAGCTTTACAAAAGATAAAAACTAATCAATATGAATATAAACAGGAAGAGTTTTTTTTCAAGGGGTTGCTAATATCGGTTTTGAGTGCCACAGCATATTGCATTTCGACTGCATTCCGATGCACGGAGATGCAAATTCTTCTCCGAAATATCTTAAATGCCGTTTCATTTCCTTGCCGGCATGAAATGTTGAGGCATTTGCACGAAATTCAGGTTCTTTATGCTTCGTCTGTTTTTTTTTTAATCTTAATAACAATTAAATACGATCATTTGCGAATATCGACAAATTTTGTAAACATTTATAACCTCGGATGAATTTTGACTGAATCTCGAACCAAGTGACACTGCATCTCCGACATAAGCAACCCCTTGGTTTTTTTGTCATTTTGTTTTCAAAAAATTCAAACACTGATATTTATAAATCATTGCTATAATCATAAAAGTCGAAATATTATCTGCTATTTGGCCTAATATTGACAGTGTACGTACAATTCACAAATTTATTTGATGTGTTTAAGTGATGCTCTCTGATATCCAAATAATCAGCAAACAAGAGAAACAGTGATTTGTGGTGAAAGTTTCTACTCTGAAGGGGTGTATAGGTATACATTTTTAAGCAAAACAATTTAAATATAATTTGTAACACATGCTAGCGTCGTGACTTCGTTTACCCCATTCCTTTCTCAAAATATATACACATACCCCAAAAATTACTTAGAAGTTCTCAATCAACTCTATTGGAACCTGAAAAGCACAAAGATCCCACACAAATGTGTTACATATTTAATTTGTCGAATCCACATTTCGTAAAATCGCGACACAAAATTTCTCTTTTCTGTGTTCTAAGTTTACTCTTCTTTTTATTTAAATCATTTAAACTTACCGACACTTATCGATGCAAAATACGAGAATTACTTTAAAGAACCTATTTTTCGAAAAAAAAGGATTTTAGTCCTTATATTGTCGATTTCAACAATTTTCCCCTAAAAGTGTATTTTTAAATCTTGCTTTAAAGTCATTATTGATCACTCAATTGTCGGTAAGTTTAATGCTAGTAAAATATGGCGCTTAATATCATATTCCACTAGGATGAGGATGTGTGAAAAGATGAGCTAAATATTGCGGTCTTTGCTCAGTTGCCCACATTGCAATGTTTAGGAAACGAGAAAAACGCTGCAAAGAGTGTAAACAAACGCTATGAGTAGAGAGGAGAGGAAATACAGAAAAATATTAGAACAGTCTCCGTTTGATTTGCATGTCGCTTGAAACGTCACGATACCGTATTTCCGCACCTCTCTACATACTCAGAGGTTTACACTCCTTGAAAACAATGATAATCAATGATTTAAATAAAAAAGAAACATGTATTTCTGTCCTGTTTTATCAATAAAAAGAAAAAAAAGTTTAAAAATGAAACTTGGAATCTTAAAAATTATTATTTTTGCATACTTTTGTATCAAATACCTATTTTATTGATTATTATCTCATTTAATATTTTGTATCATTAGCTGGGATATATGTACATCACAGCTAAAAAAAATGTGTTAAAATACACTCTCCTCAATTGTTCAGCCCCTATGGCTTGAATCGGGCTCAAATTCTGGTATGATATCAAGATATCAAGACCTTTTCAAAGAACCGCCACTTAAGGACCTAGGACCTTCCGGACCCTACACATGGGGGATCAAATTTCAAAAATTAAAATGACCTTACCTCCGCTTCTAATTAACCGATCGGAATGATTTGATATTCATTGAAAAGGTCTCGCATAATGCCATCTCTCACACGAACAACATAACATAGTGAAAAATTTTGTTCCAAGGTCACACTACTTTGGGATAATTTCTTAAAAGTTTCGATAGTCCAGATCGAGACGTTTCCAAAATGGGGTCAAACGTATATATCAAACCCATGGAACCAGAGTTATACCTGTTCAAACTTCAGGACTTGGATTTTATATTCCATATGTAAATTTCCATGATTTCTTTCCTTCTCACTAAAACGAGTTGGCCACGGAAGAGAGAATTTTTTTTATCGCTGCTAATATACCATTCACAATTCAATATTTACATTGTTCGTTTTTATATAGGTTGTGTAACATGTTAGAAATGTATTTTCTAGATTATTTGAATGATTTTGATTGTGCTGGTGGGCTGCAGCCTGTCCTCCTTCCTGCAAATGCGAGCCCTAATTATTTTAGATCGTCTTTCCATCAGCGGCTGCCCTGGATATCTGGCTTCACTCTTGATGAGGGGTGGCTCGACCAGGCTCCGGGGACTTCTTGTTCCTCGAGCTGAGCATGAGATTTTTTTCCGTACCCTCTTTGTCCGGGGGGTTTCGCTTTACAATGCCCTCCCGCGTGAGGCGCGCGAGACCGTGGGGGGCATCAGGAAGCACTTTCAGGCTGCTGATCTGGTCAGTGACCCATCATAATCAATAGCTAGACGACTTGAAATCTTTTCTTTGTTTTGTCAATTCTAAATCTGTTTTTCGACTTTTTCTTTTCTCATAATTAGCAAATTGTAAGAGGGGTAGGCCCTAAGGTTTTGCTCAAACAATAAAATTGAAATTGAAAATTGGATCAAGATTTACAAAATAGAATTTTAGTTATTTTAGTTAATTATATACTTCAACTGATAAAGAAATTACTCGATCCAGAAATTCTTTAAAAACTAGGTCCTTCTTACATTTTTATAAGACATTTAGGTGAGCTGGGTGTGCGGCACACAGGTCCACAATTTCAGCGTGCAATAAGTCTATTGAGTATGGTTTATATTCTAACGACATTGTTTTAGCTGAGAGATACTGGCGTCCGTGTTGGGTATATATGGGTTTATCATCTTTTCATTTGAGCACGCTAATCAGATGACAACTGTGGAGGGTAATACATATTAATTAGTTTTCGAATTAAGAAAAGAAGTAAGTAACTCACAAAATAAAAAGTGACAGATAGCTAAAAATCATCTTTGCACATCAGTTGTATCTCACAAGATATCTCATCTTGAACTCCTACTTGGAGGACAGAACATTCTTTGTGAAGGTCCATGATAAGGCTCCTGGCCAGCGATTGATACAGTTTAGTATATATTATATATATATATATAATATAATAATAATATATATTATATATATATATATATTATATATAATATATATATATATATATATTATATATGGCAGCATGTTGGGTCCAGTGCTTTACAGACAAGGCTCAGTGCACGCCAGCGGAATCGCATATGCCCGGTGTGGAGGGGAATCTCAAGTGACCCACGCGAGTGCACCAAGACAGGTCAGAGCGCACTAGAGAACCCAGACTCAGCCAGCTCATCAGCACCCACGATGGGACTCAGGCATACCTTGGCAAATAACTTGGCATGTATCTCGACAGATGTCTCACCTGGCGTAAGCACATTATGGCAAAGTAATGCCAACTGGGGCTGAAAGACCGCAAACTCTAGTGGATAATTGGCAAGAAATCAAATCTCTCTCTGGAAAGTAAGGTCTTGCTCTAAAAGACCATGCCTAAACCAATCAGGATGTATGGAATTCAGTTGTGGGGCACTGCCTCACACTCTAACATCGAGATTATTTAACACTTCCTACTACAAGATTCTCAGATGCTTCGCGGATGCTCCTTGATATGTGTCGAGTAGCCTACAGCTGAATGCACATGCGGGAGGAAATTGGAGGCTCATCCTAATCACTTGGCAAGACACCTGATAATTCGGCTTAGGGAGAGTAAGCTCAAGCGTTTTATACGCCCTTAAGTCAATCTGTGATTCAGTGTTATTGTTACTTGTTAATTTCTTATAATTCTGTCGTCTGATGTTGCTCTTCAGGTGGCTTAGTTTCATTAGAAGTCATTGGAGTGGGTTCCGACCTGCCTGATTCTCATACGTCTTAAGAATTGCTGAATGTAACTTTTTACAATAGTAATTGAAATGGATGGGATATGCTGGTGGGCTGCAACCTGTCCTCTTTCCTGCAAATGCGAGCCCTGATTTTCCTGGATCGCCTTTGCATCAGCGGCTGTCCTGAATATCTGGCTTCCCTCTTGACAAGGGGTGGTTCGACCAGACTCCAGGTATTACTAGTCCCTAGAGCCGAGCATGAGACTTTTTCCCGTACCCTCTTCTTTTCAGGTATGTCACTTTATAACTCCCTCCCGCGTGAGGCGCATGAGACTGTGGGGGGCATCATGAAGTTCTTTCAGGCTGATCATTCTCCTTAGGCTTTATCAAGTTTTTTTTCACTTTAAAGTCTCTTTTTTCTGCTTTTCTCTTCACATTTGTTGTGTCTGTTATGTTTCTTCTTTTCTTTCATTATTCCGTCGTTCTTAGCTTGCTTAGCTTGTTTTCTTTAGTAAATATAGGGATAAGTGGCCCGTTCAACGGTTGACATCGTCCAGCGTATCGAGAATAAAGTAATAAGAATGATTTTACATGCTCCGTGGTACATACCGAACTCCCTTCAGATGCCGACTATCCAGGAGGCAAATCACCGTTATGCTGTGAAACACAGCAAGAGACTGTCTCTAAACCCTAATGTTCACGCCAGAACTCCTGTTTGTCAGAGCCAAAAGAAAACTTAATAAACAATGAGTCATTAACTTTGCCAATGTATAAAGTTTGTTAAGATTGGTGTATTAGTTTGGTTCGTCACTGGACAGACTACAACTCATGTTATTCACTCACCACCTGCCAAAACTATTGGTTATTGTATGTAATACATATGGTGAAAGAAATAAGACGAAAAAACGCAACATCAGAAATCAATTTTTTATTAGAGAAATTCCATTGGTCTTAGTATTTTTACATTGAATATATTTAACAAATTATTTTGACTGGGAAATAATACCGAAGTCCGGTTTTACCTATGGCGTTGAAATCTTTAGGCACGTGGAGAGCTAGAAATGTGACGCAAGCGAGCGGTGCATATTCGCGAACGATGTTAGTAAGACTAACTCGATGGAAATGCGTGTGCGTATGGAAAACTCTTTGGCTGCCATGCGCGCATCCTCTAGATTCGGTGACAAGCTGTAAGGTTTAGGTCCGGGTGTTCAGTGCATCGTCACATGGTTTTTCCGACGTACACGCACTCGGTTGTGCTGTGAGTTTTGACGCGTGTGGCAATGTGTTTTGTGGCACGCTGAGGAATTCGGTGAAGATTATGCTGAAATTACATTGGAGACAAATGCAGGTGATTACTGGGGAGCCGATTTGGCTCACAACCGCCCTAAGTTCCGTGGTGCCCGCCCCCATTGTGTCACTCTCCATGCGCTCTCCCTCCCTTTTTCAACGTGTTCGAGTTATAGTTATGCTTTCTCGCTCGCACGCGCCTCCCTCGAGACCCAGCACTTGGGCGGCGCCATTTCAAGGACCTCAAGACACGTGCCTCAATATCACTATGCGTAAAGTTTAGAAAATGTATTTATGTAGAAAAAAACATGCTCAACAATCTGTCTTGGCTTTTTATCTAGATTTTTAGGTAACTTTTACGTCTCGTGAATCGTTAAATGAGAGTGAAAATTCTTTTTTATAGTAAATAATAATACTTTTAAATTATCCACAAAGTGGCTTATTTATGAAGAACTATAACAAGACATCTCCTATATCTTTTATGGAAAAATTTCTACCCTATTGATAACACTCCTCTTGAATATAGCTTAAATTAGTAGAACATAGCCTTCGGTTTTCCACCCATTACGATTTGAATTAAAATACACATGTATTACTGTGTCTGAGTAAAAAAAATAAAATTTTGGACTCAAATTTTGGCAAAAATTAAAAAATTAAAAAGAAAATTTCAAATTCCAGTTCGCAAGATAACTTTTGTTTTTTAATTTCTCTTTTGCCAATAATTTTCAATCATGTATTCGTGGTTATTTTTACCACTTTTCGAAAAAAAGAATCTCGTGAATAACCGCGCCGGGAGTGACAAAAAACTGTGAGAAAATGTTCTTTGGCGACAAAACCACATTCACGATAGGCGTGCGTGAGGAAAGAGATGTGTAAAACGTGCATAATGCGAAAGTTATTTCCGTCACTGAAATTGTCACTAGATTCATTTTCATTAGTAATTGCAGTTAGTTTTTGTCAGAAAAATTTTTCGTTCATTTATGCTTTTGATGAAAAGGTGAAACATGTTCCATGCATTATATTACTTTCCTATGACAATCCTGCGTAAGCATCAGATCTTGCATATTGCAAAAACAGATAATTCAGTGACATGTTTACAATTATTCTCGATTCATATCAAAGAGATTGAAAAACAGAATGTTTTTACAAGAAATGAATTCCGAGATAAAATTCTGACTCAACTTGAAATTATAACTTGCAGAATGAAATAATTATTACTATACTCTTTTTCCTTATTGCAGAAAGTTATTAATTATTTCTTGCATAGGTTGTTCCATACATACAGTGACTTCCAATTAAATAGAGCCAGCTGAGCTTTAGACTCATATCGATGTGTCGCGAATTTCCATGTGAAGCTATAGACTGGATTTTGTGATAAAACTTCCCTCATTCATAAGTTAAAAAAATGACAAGTTTATAGTCTTTACTCCCTTTATGACACTAAATCAGAACCGAAGCAGTAAACAACTCTCGCAAGGAAATAGCACCACCTGATTATCTTGAATATATCGGCCAGTAGTTGAATTTGTGGAAGTTGATGAAACCGGCCTTTTTAGCTCAATCTTATATTCATTTACATTTATTGGGTCACAGCGGGTACATTTCTCACAGCCTCATTTAATTTCATTTGCTTTCATTTACGGCCATCACCGTCTTAGTGTTGTTGACCAATCACCAGGATAAAACGATGGAAAAGTCCCTTCATTGATTGTATATTTCACGAATCCCACGGTGGGGGGGACACGCTGGATTCTCCTCCGTACTTTGTTTCGAAACATTTCCCTTTCTCAGGTGTGGACAAAAGATGAAAATAATTGGTTACTCAATTTGGACCTTACCTTTCTTCACATCGATCACTTTGTTCCGTTTCCCCAAATGATTTCATTGACAAGTCTAACCTAAAAGAAACAAAACTACTACCGTAAAAAGAAATCTCTCCCGAATATTTCCTCCAATGGAGAAAGTTATGTCTCCCAATGGGACGTAAATAGTTCATAAAATAAGCAAATAATGAGGTCTTAAAAACATCTGTAGAGTCTTAAGGATAAGAATCCTGCAGATTATCATTTTCAATTGGTAAATTTAGAGCCTGAAGAAACTGGGCGGAGGAGCTGGCAGTGGGAGTTAATTTTTGAGTTGGTTCAGGTCCTAGGGACTGAATAAAGCCGAAAAATCCATTTTTTTCACGTTTAAATATGGGGAAAGAAGGGAGGGAGGTTTATATATCAAACACTATTATCAGAATTACAGCATACTTTCAATCCCTGGTGTACAGCACATGTCGATATCTCTCACAGTTTAGGCGCTAATAAAAACAGATGGAACGACTTACTTAGTCGGCTCTATAACCAGTTGCTGGTCTTGGCCTGACTAAGGACTTGGCTCCACTGCCCTCTTTCTGCGCCGCCCCACGCCATCGATCCATCTGAGGCAGGGCTTACCTCTCCTTCTCGTTGTATAGAGCCTACCCTCCAGGACTTTCCGGGCTGGGTCGTCCCCATGCATCCGGATTACATGGGAAGCCCACCTTAGTCTATTGAGGCGAACTAGCTTGACGATGTCTACCTCGCGGTAGCGCTCGTTCACCTCATGGTTATATACACTCCGGAATCGTCCGCCCTCACATATGGGGCCGAAAATTCATCGCAGAATGGAACGACTAATAGACCAAAAAAAACAAAATCCGATTGTTTGGTCTGCTGAGAACAGGTAACAATATACGATACGAAGTTGTTCTACTTACTAATAATCTACCTTGGCAAACACGTGGGAGATAAGGCATCGGTGAAGTTTCATATTATTACAGCCCTTACCTTCTGCGCAACTACCATGTAACATATTTTAATGATTATTAAAAAACGTTATTGTAATTTTAATTTATAATAGACATTGTTCTTTAAAGTAAAGAGCATTACGCACTTGCTTTAGTTACTTATAAAACTTAACTTATACTTATAAACTTATAAAACTAAACTTATAAAAATTTAAGTTTAATATTGTAAGTTCTTATACAATTATTATAACTTAAAATCTGAATTCCGTATTGCTTAATGACATAGGTTTAAGAAAAACTCGCTATCCATTTGACGGTGACTAAAGGTTTGGTGATTGCATTAGCAAATTTGCATTCTTTGGGACGCTCTTCTGTTTATCATTAGGGTGGTAATATTTCTAATCTTCTCACCGGGTGGTCCGTTAGGTAAAGCGAGAAATTACTGTCATATATTATATCAAATACAGTCTTGACACTATGTATATCACTGTGACTTAATAAAATACTAAGGGAGTAGATTAAGTAAAATCAATTTGAACTATGCCATTGTCTGATGCAACCCAAATTATTCCAATGTTCGCTTTTTCAACTGTTTTTTTTTGTATTGCATTATATTTCTCTCTCTTTCTCTCTCTCTCATACACCACCAACAGATAGTCTCCCACAACTGAGGGGATCTTTTCGATTATAAGTTTCTGTTGACTTAGGTTCAAGTCCATTATATCGTGTCTTCATTTGTTGGCCACTCGGTTTGAGAGTGTCTCTATCATTGAATAAACGTACACCACACTCATCAATTTTCACCAATTGATTTTGTAATTCCTCCCTTCGTTGTCTTGTGAAATCGTATCATGGGTGACCGGGAAGTTCTGTTTAGCCAAAGGGCTGGACATATTTCTAATTAAAGACAATGGTACTGACTGTGTTATTATGATGCCAATGGGCTCAGCTACACATTTTTATACGAATGAATATTTGTCTACAATCGCTATAAATGGTAGTAACAAAAATGTATAAAAAAAAATATAACATATAAATAACAAACATTCTTAGTAAACGATGAATGCATTTCGTATCATAACCACGGGGTCGTTACTTTCAAGAGTAATTTTACATTAGATACGTGCTTAGTAACCATAATCTGAGTCACCTTGTACAAGCGTGATGCTTGCTGTGGTTGCAAAAGTTTCAACGAGAATAGTGTAATTTTTACCTCCGCGATTTTTGTTTTTTTTTTTCATTTTGATTGTAACAAGTGATGCGAATATACTAACTAGAACAAGGAGTAATAAGATTGTGTGGAGACGAGGATAAAATGAAATCTTTTGAGATTCCACAAAGAAAGTGAACACAACTTTCTTGCCCAATTATACGCTGAACCTTTGGGACAGTTGCGAAACTTTTTTTTCGATCGGAGACTTTTCTCTAGGGCACTTAATCTGACACATTTGTTTAATCTAGGGCTTTTGAGTTTTCGCACTCCTGTGCTAGAGTAAAGCAGACAGTGTCGATTTTATTGCAAGACGCGGAACAACCGGAAATCACTGTTATTCTTTTCAGAAAGTAAAGTATATAAATCGGTTCGTAAACAGCAAAGATATAGGTAGATGTCTGAAGTTTGACCTTATATATTTCCGCTCCTACAACAAGAGGGGCATGTGTGGGATATCGTTGGAAACATTTCGATCTTAGCTCCGATATACTAGAATAAAATTTTGCAGCTTAAATGATGACACGACTATGACGACGGTTGAACGGAAGGACAGACAGAACATTGAAAAATTACCCTCTTTTTCCCTATATTTCATAATATTTCGCCTTCCTGGACCCATTTTAGTTGATTTTTTGCGCGATTGCAAATATTAGCTATCATGTAAATCACAGCTAGACAATATTAGTGTAATCTCGAGACAAAAAAATATGGATAGTTTTTATCGAAAAGAGGGAGTGACTTTTACACTCGATTATATTTCTTAGAACGTTTTGCGCGCTTTTGCCTGTTTCATCAGGTATGGCGGAATATGGATAAAATGTTTCACTTCTGGTCTACTCAGCTGTTCACTATTGCAATCTACTTTACTTGCTTACATTCTCTGCACTCAGCTAAAAACTCAGTTCAAATAATACCACAAATGCTACGTAATGCTATTGCTGATTTCACAACGGAAATCTAACGAGGACAATACCCCCTCTTGCCCGTAAAATATGTATTGTGAGTCGCGACGAGACGACCACAGAATCAGAGGAATTTTTCATTAGACTTCACTTGTCACTTTTTGCCCAAAAGC